CTTTCGGCAGAAATTATGTCATCATTATTCATTACTTAAATTAGAGCGCAAACAAAATAACTCTTCAAATGCATTTCGACTTCGCATATTTCTATTTCGTTCTTAACATTTGGCATTTGGAATCGGAAAAGATAACTACATTCATACGCTCCCGTAGCGCTCTCGAAAACCATACCTGATTCCAAACCAAAATGGGCAAAGTGTATACCCATTTTCAGACCAAAAACACCCCCAAAACATATCCTTTGGGGCGGCACATTATGGCTTATATGAGGAAGTACCCACCTCCGGACACAAAGACAAGAGGAGAAATTGCACTGATCCATGCCAGGAGCCCATAACCCTCCTGGCCATACCCGCCAAGAAACAGTCAGTTTCGTTTTTGCCATGACCCGACCAGTCCGCAGGGTGATCAAGTTTTTTGGAAAATGGAAAAACAACAACAAAAAAGATATTGGTAAAAAAGTTTCTTTGAAATCTTTAAATTAGCAAAACCGATCAGGTCCTCTGTGCCCCGACTGCCGGACTAACCTAATTTGACACGGCCTACAGTCATTATTGTTCGGCTGATTAGGATACGGATATAGTTAAACTGCAAAGTTGTTTACGGAAGATTCTGAAAGTTCTTTGTTTCCCATATTTATATCTAATTTGCTTACAGTGACTAAAGTTCTCCTTAGCAATTGTTTTTTCAAAACTGTCAAAGCAGTTTAAATGATGCATTTATAAGAAGAGGCAGTAAAACGAGTCAATCGTTTCACAATATTTTTTCCAATCGTTGTTCGACTGACTGCGTATAAAGAGGGGAAAATAAAGCAATGATTAATAAGAGGTTTCAGCGCTTCCGTTCGATTTCCGATCAATGCCTGACCTTAAGTGTGGATGGTAGCTCGGCGTTTGCCATCTTTGACATCTTTATAACGACAAGGTTTTTGAGTGCTTATAAATAAGGGTATTATACCTAGTCAAAACATAATGATCGAAGTAATTTCATCTACCGGTATATCTACCTAAACTGCCTAACGGAGACATAAGTGAACGATCTAGGCGGAATTACTTAGTCCTAAAATCGAGCTTATTGTCGGATCAGCCTGACACTTATAATTACTGAGAACGAGCCAAACAACGTATTAGGACATCTTGACAAATTTGCGCTTGATACATCACATTTTTGTTCACAGAATTTGTAAATTTCGAATATGCTGAACACGCAATAAATTCAGATCACCACTTCTTCATCCTGAAACGGGCGCTTTTCCCCCTTTTACGATGCTGTTGGCTCATTCACCTGAGCTTCACGAAGCTCTGCGAGAAATATATTCCTAGCTATTAAGAACAATGGCAAGCAAAAATAAAATAATTAAGGGAAAATCGGAAGTCAGTAAAAATTTTACTACCTATTGCATAAATTGCAGTTCTCAATATTGCTTCGCCATACCTTAACAAATATTTCCTCCTCTCTCTACTAAAAAAAAATCACCCACTCACGCAAGCTGTTGTCTGATAGAAATCCGGATCAGCTGAACCAAACAGAGTCCATTACATGCAACTCGCCTTTTGGAGGTCGTTAACACCAGGCAAATATGTAAATTCTTTCAACTAATTCTGACAAGGCTGCCGGTTCACCTTGACTCTTCAACGCCCAGCTTCAGTCAAGCGAAACTGTAATACGAAATGTCCACGAGGATAAGTAAAATACAAAAGGAGGTTCACGTGCGCTGTATAATGAGTGGTCTTTGGACCACTATATATAGTTGATTACTGGGTTGATAGTACTGTATTTTAAAATATTCATTTTCAAGGAGTGAAGGGTATTTTCTAAAAGGAGATTCCCTTGTAAACTTTAAAAGTTACATTCGACTTTCTCAAAGGTTGATTTTCTTGACCGCTTTGCAATGAACTTGCTCTCGTGATCTGGGTGTAGCCTCGGGCGATATTGGACTTGTATATCCCTGACGATGGGGTCTTGAGTTTTGCTGGTTTTTGAAGCCTAATACAATTAGGTAGTGAAATAGGCTGACACACAAAATGGCAGCTTTTTTAGCTACACCAAAATCGGATCACGTCCGATCCAGTTTGAATGTAGGTATAAATGTACAACTGTACTGTCAGCGGCTGACTAGACTTTTTGAGTGCAAATGGGGGAATGTTAGAGGGTGGCGTTCAGTGATACTTAATATCTTTGAACTCTACCTATCAACTGATTATCATGCATGATGAAGGAAAAAGAGCACATTTGAAAAGTAGTCTGCTCGGTGAATTATTGCACTATTAATAGCTCCAAAGTCCATGCAAGACCTAACAAGCCTTTCAAAACTGATTGATAATTAGACTTGCAAATCAATACTGTGTCGGCTAGCTGTGACTTTCTCTGCTCATTCTGAGATTTGTTTTCAATTTTTTTTTCTGGTACAATGAAAAAACTTGAAGTATTATGAAATAAAAAAAACGAGAGTAATAAAAGCAATATGCCTGAAATCAGAAACTCATATACGATACTGAGATAAACCCTGCAATCATTACTGTCAGGCTCAGGTAACTAAATTAAGTGACTTCTTTTGTCATTTTACCCTCAGTCAACAGTTTGTTTGGAACATTCAATTTATACTGAACTGTATTCAAACTAAATNATGAGCACATGTAAGTACATGAACTGGAAAGGCTTAAATGAGTCCGCTTTCCCCACTCATTTATACCTAAGTTAGTACTATATATTTCGAGACCATTCAGTAAATTTCACAGTCGACCTTACGCAAGGAGTGTTTATCGATAGATTTCATAGCATTGATCCCACAAAAACTTACAATTTCAAAGCACCAACATTATTCACCCCCGCTTCTCATAAAATCACGGCAAAATACGGCATTCTCTGTCTAAAGACACTGCTTTTAACGGAGAAACAGCTCCAAGCCATACATTTCTTTGTAGCGACTTGCAATGTTTGCCCCCTGGCGATCCCATAATTCTGTGCGCATAACTAAGTCTCACATTACTGGAAAATCATTCATTACACTCTTCATTTGGGGCTGACTCAAGTAACATCGATGTAACAGCATTCTGCTGGGTTTTCCTGAAGCACTACCGGAAAAACTGTCAAAAGAGTTGGCGACCAAGCAAGGTCATTCCAGTAGTTGTCCCAACACTAAGTCCTCTTGGTACTCATGAATTTCGTTTAGCACACACTGAGACTCTATTTTACGTACAAAAGTTTGAAAAGTATAGTCAAGTCTCAACCGCTTACAACGAATACTGTTCGTAATTAATAATTTTTGTTCTCGCGTCATGCATTTTCACTAAGTAGATTGCCTTAGTTTTTCGCTAAGGTAGATAGCGTAATCTTTCCTTGTCACCAAGAGCGATATGGCTCTTGCTTGTCACTGAATAATGCAAAGATGTAGTTAGAACGCTGAGTCCATTGATTTCATTGGTATTGATGACAATTGTCTGCACCTGCCCTTGTTCTCTAGATTGTGATTCGTTTCGATGAAAAGTGCAAGTTCACCTCGAAACTATCGAGGCTTAGCAATTCCTCTGGTACATGCAGGTCATGCAGTAAAACCCCATTTAGACGGACACCGGATGGGGCCATAGAAAGTGTCCGTATCCCGGGGGGGTACTGCCATATATGGGCTATATAGGTACGTGCCGCTGTGAAGGGTATGGTTTCCAAACAGTTCACTCTAGGGTAGGGTATATAAATCAGAGCGTTTGGGTCTAGAATAGGGTATCATTTTTCAGGAAACTGATCAGTTGGTTGAAGATTTTATCTAGACTAGGGAAACAGCTACTCTAGGATAGGGGGGATTTGGGGAGTTTACTCTAGTATAGTAGCAAAATTCAGCTGAACTAGCTCTGGCATAGGTTAAGGATTCCAGGGTCCCAGTGGCACATCCCCACCCAGAAATTCCTAAAGTACCCCCCGCCCTGGGGTCCGTATTAAGTGGGTGTCCGTATTAAACGGGTTGATTTTAGAGAAAGTGTAAGGGCTTTCTTTCCCCAGGGACAAAGCAAACTGTCTGTATTTTGCAGGTGTCCGTTAAAGGGGGGTTAGTGTACTTAGTTACCCTCCTGTAGCCTAGAAATGTGCGGTACGACTGACGTCACAGGTGGTTCAATAGGCGAAGTTCTAGGCGCGGTTACTCATAGGAACTTTTAAGGTATGACAGTGTTTTCTGGCCCGGCCCAAGATCTTCCACTTAGGAAAGTTGGACTCTACTTATACCTACTTTAAAAGAGACTGTTACGTGATACAAGGTTTTCTTGTTAATTGACTGATCCCTTTACTTGGGATTACAGTGTTCAATTCTAAGGGGTTTTAATCGAGGCGCTCATGCGTTTAGACTACTAGCAGCCTGGTTAGCCTGTGCTTGCAGCACGGGGCGGGTGGCAGTCCGAAGTGTCCCAGAATCCAGTTTTGGAAGGAAGGACCAAGGCACAGAATCCTAATAAAGGATCTAACCAGCTATAAATTAAATTGAGCCACAGAAAGAAGCAAGGCTGATTTTACAGTCGGGAATATATATATTTTTTGTTACCAGAATTTCGGAAGGCACTTCCTTCTCCAGGGTCTTGCATACAAAAACTAACCAGCTTGCATATCAGAACAGACTAGGGATTTTAACGTGTGCCGTTGAAAAATTTTAGTGGGGCTTAACTGTGTTCAGCTGTGTGTTTTTCAACGGTAACTGTCAGTTTAATTCTAATCATTCACCAACAATCAATTAATTTTTGCCTAATATTGCTCTAAAACGTTTCTATAAAGAAGTCTGGCATGGTTCCAAATTAGCTGTCATCTACTTTTCTCTTTGTTTAGAAACACTTTACTTTATTCATTTACCCATACAAAGCGTATTTAAGGAAATGTTTGTTTCTTTAAAGCCCAATGGTTTGCTTGAAGCTTTTTTTTTTTTAATACGATCACTACCCCCGAGAGTCGACAACGTGGTTCGATCGTTGCTAATCAGTATTCGATAGTTAACACTCCCGGGATTTGTGGCAACAAATTTACATGTGCTTGCGTTTATTTACCGAGCGGTATTAGGACACTAAAGGATGCAGAAGGCGAACCCGTCGGTTTTTTCTCCGACGATTGTATCGAATGAAGACCCATTTCTTTTTATTGATGAAGCCGCGGAGAAGCCAGCTGCTAAGATTAAGGATAGTTACAGTGGCTATGAGGTTGGTTACCAAAACAATGTGTTGATGAATTCTTACATGTTGATTCATTTTAATACTGCGGCTTTCTTGGTTTACGTAGCGAAATATTAATAGTTTTTAGGCATCCAGACATCAAGTATTTACTTGTATCAAATAACGACAATCTTTTTCTCTATGTCTTTTTTTAGAGTGACACCTCAGAAAGCGATGAGGACCAAATCGAACATCAGTCGGCTGCCGGCTTTTACCCGATTCACCCTGGTTAGGAAAATTTAAGTCTTTAATAATTTGACTAAAAGTTTACATAACCTATCATATATGCCAAGCTGTTTTCAATACGAACACCTGATTGACTGATTTCCATTTTTATTTCAATTTGCTGCGAAACACGAGACGATTCGACTTCAAACCGGAATCAAGTCGTTACCGGAAATATCGTCATTGTTTTGAGGGGCCTCTTCGAAAATATTCTCCGGAATTTTCTTTGGGACTGCCTGGCTGACAGACTTGCAGAGCACTTCTCATCTTGCCAGAGTCAAACGACGTTAAAAATTTAAACCGTGTATATTTTTCTGCACTTTGCAGGTCAATCGTACTTTTAAGATATGCAAAATGCGTCATTGAATGAATGTCAATGTTTAATCTGACGGAAATTGACGTCAAAATTCTGCCGAGTGCCGTTTGATTCAACCGGCCGCCATATTGAAAAGGTCTGGGTTGCTTTCCGTCTGTAACTTTTTGGCGAGCTTGACCTCCTTTATGGGATAAACTCGGAAATGAGTGTACGAAAGAACGAGGAGAAAGGTATTTTAGTTTTTTATTGTTGTTTTGAAATCCTTTGGGAATTCAATTCCGGAACGATAGTGCTCAACGCCTATACTACGCGGAACGGTGATCATCGACAGGTTGAATTATCTAGAGTGATGGCAGACTTGTTAAAGTCAATTTAACAACGCTTGCTTTTTCGATTTTGTGTTAACCTTGAATAAAAAATCAGAACGGTCCTTCGACTTGTTTTTAAAAATTTCTATTGTTTTTGGGCAAGGACCTTGAGCAGACTGCTTCATCAAATTAAAATGCACATAAACCAGATAAGCTTTTAGTGAATAAGCTGAATGATTATTTCGTTGATAGCTAAGTTTTTGCTTTTTTGCCTGGTACCTGTGTAATGAATATTTTTTAACTTACATTTTACGTTAAAACAAATCACTTAAAGAAATATGCGATCACTAATGCATTTACTTTTTGTAGACCTAAATTAGAAACGCCGGTTCTTCAGCAATGTTTACATTAGATGCTGATTTTGCAATCCCAGCTTGTAATTAACATAAAAGCGTTTGTCTCGTCTCATTTGTTGTTTTTCCCGGCCCTAACAAAAATAAACATGAGTTTGTGGTCATTCTATTTACAGCTATGTTAAACCTGAATCGTTGTTGCGCTTTAAAAATATTGAAATCTCTTCCGGAGCGTTCCTGTGTGATTTGCATACGGCAAGCGAAGTTTGGACTCTTTAAAACAAAAAATAAATATATTTCGATATTGTTTAGAACGAAGTTTCATTTTGCTTTGTGGGTTCCAGAGAAACAAGTATTGGCTTATTTGCATTCCAAATTGCTAATAACTTGTCTGCAAGTTCTGTCTTAGAAGGAGATGAATTATTTGTGAGATGCGAGATTCCGTATTTTTTAAACATCCCGTGGACACCTTGGGTGGTTTTGAATCGTTTTTGGGCATGGAGATTTCTAAGGTTCTGTAGCGACGTATCTTACCATATTCCAAAGTGAACTATGTCAGGTAACGGACATTCGGAGCCCAAGGAAGATATTGGGGAAGGAAAACGTGTTAAGAGTACCCCCAAACGAAAAAAATTCCGTTCTTTTTCCTTAGGTAAGTCATGTCTCGCAGTTCTGTCGAAATCGACATCTTGTATCCAATTCTGTCAGCTTAAGCTTTTTTTTTTTTTTTTTTAAATTTTTCCCTTTTTTTTGGAATATTTGTTTGAAAGTCTGATGTTCTTTGTATGATACAAAATAATTAGGACTTTGTTTGGCGGGGTCTTCTTGTTTTTTTTTGTCAAATTATATAAATTCATTTTATAAAAATTCTTTTTCCTTAGGTAAGTCATGTCTCGCAGTTCTTTCGAAATCGACATCTTGTATCCAATTCTGTCAGCTTAAGCTTTTTTTTTTTTTTTTAAGTATTTCCCTTGATCTTGGAATATTTGCTTGAAAGTCAGATGTTCTCTGTATGATACAAAATAATTAGGACTTTGTTTGGCAGGGTCTGCTTGTTATTTTTTGACAAGCTATATAAATTCAGTTTATAAAAATTTTTAAAGGAATAGAACATGATAAGCTTATACACGTTGGCACACTTCCATGCCAGGTGCCATTTCTCTTTAGTATCAATCCAGAAATTTAACTTGATTTTAATCCAGTAATTTGGTCACCTCAATCTCTTATTTTTTGTGAGCTTCTGTGCGTATAGTTAGTCTATATTTAACGACAGTCTTCAATGAAACTCATCCCACAGGGACATTTGAAGTTAAAAATATACATAACTACTGCAGTATTTTAAAGAGAAAGACATGTGATAATGTCTTATTGAAATGAAGTTGGTGTCTCAATAGAGCTATATAAGTGGCATATCAGTAGAGATGTGTGTGTTGAGGGAATATTTAGTTCATATCATCTATCTTTAATAACCTGGAAACAGTTTGCCTCCAGGATTTGGAAACTGAAAAAATGTTGTGAAAACATTATTATGAGCACAATAATGTATTGTATTAGATCAAGTATTATCCTGGTTAAAATGTGTAAGATTTTGTTGCAATTGACATGCTTAAATTATTCTATTCACTGATAAATCCATTTTATTGTTTGGCTGTGATTATGTAAGGCAGGTAGTTTTGTGCAGATCCATTTGATTCACTACAACACTGGCATCCTGCTGGTTTAATAACCACATAAGGTGCTAAAATTTGCATTAAAACAAGCTCATGATAAAATCGTGAGGCGTACCAAACTTTAATTTTAATTTGTCTTTCATTTTCTTCTCAACCAATCTCCCTATGTTTGTTGTAATGTTACACACCTCGGCAACATTTGTACCGAACAATTTTGTTTGTCATCCTTTTATAATGTTGTTTTGCCACTATCAGAGTTAAGTGACTTCACTCTCCCCGTAACAGTTACCCTAGAGACAGCCAGTATTTCATTGTGAGTCTGTAATTTAGAGGGTGTTTTCAGAAGCTGGTGAAAATATGCCAACCGAATGCTAAAGTTGCAGGCAATGTTTTATCAAGTTGTTCTCAAGGAAAAGTAGCTTGCATGTGTTAATTATTAATGCCCACAGAAGCCTATGTAAGACTCTTGGCACCTTAAGTGCCTGTCAGATGTCAAAAGTGACTGTCAGATGTCAAAACCGTGAACAGTTTCTAACAAAAAATGGGGTCGTTTCTTTAAAAATAGGGTTAAATTACAGGTGTGATTGACTTAATTTGATGATGTTGTTAGCCAGCTGTGTGGGAGCTGCAGAAACAGTGCCCTCCCACGGTTCCCACAGGAAAAGCTTTAACATGTTGCAACTGTCGTGTTGTGCTTTTAGTGGCAGAGGGATGGGGTTAGTTAATGTCCTAGTTAAGAAATAATCCCAGTTGTTTCTTGCTTCCAAAGGTTATCTATAGGTTAGGAGTAGCTATGCACTAAAGCTGGTAAACAGTGTGTACTTCCCAAAATAATAAACCACTGCATCACCCAGTCGGCTGCCTAATGAACCCCCACTATACGTGCCCACATAATTTATTTTATGAGCAAGGGTTTGAGACAAGACTTACCGGTTTTCATCCTTATCCAAGAAGACGAGACAGTCCAACCCATTCGCAGATGTCATTACAAAGCCAGCACTTTTTCTTCAGTTATTTAGAGATCCCTAGTGTTGGTCTGGTCGGGGTTTGAACTAGTGGTCTCCTGCGTAGACCAGGGCTTATTCAATTGAGCTAGTCGGACAGCAGCACTTGAGACTGGTTGGAGTAACCTCTTTGTAATAAGCCCTGCTGAAGACCTCTGAAAAATTAGATATTTTAAAATTATGTTACATTTTCTTTACAGCTGATACTGCCCTTCTTCTAGGAAATTTGTCACGCAAGTCCAACAATGAAGATGAGGGTCGAAACTCTCCAAAAGGTAAGAACTTTTATTAAGCGATTTCTTTATAGAAACTCACAGTAACCAGTTTATCGTAACCATTGCTAATACAAGTATTTAATTTTTGGTGGTCTTCCCAGGTCCCCCCTGCACTTCTGTTCCAGCCAAGGCAGGAAATATTATTTTAGAAAGTCCAATTTAAAAAATTATTCAAGGTGGGGGTGAAGGAAGTAGGTATGCTTCCAAACCCCCTTAAAGGATTTTGTTTGCTATTGTTGGTACTTGGAAGGTTTAAGCATAATACAACTCATGTCCACTCATTTCACTTGTGCATTGTGTACTTTAAAATGTGGCCAAAAGCAATCACTGGCTAAATTTTTGGTGGCAAATACACTGTAATGGTTTAGCAGGGCAAGCTGTCACTAAGGTTAAGGTTGGCATCTATGAGCATGACCCCCTGATACTTTCATGCATAGGAAACAAAAGAAAAATAGAACTAAAAAATAAAAAAAGGAACTTCCTAGATGTTTGATTCCCCACCAACTACATGTACCCAGCAACTTGAAATCATAGTGATAGCCTTGGTTTAGGAGTAAACCACTAAATGGTTGTTCTTATCAACGAAGTAAATTACTTGATAATTTAAATCAGCTAAGTGTGAAGAGATTTAGAGCTAGCATTTAAAGTTGATTTTTAAAAAAAGCAACTTTAATTAACGTTTCTTGCTATTTTGCATTCCTGACAACTGATCACTGAAGAAAGAAGCAAAAAAAGAAAAGATCATGAATATACACTGTCTACGAAGATTCAAATGGATCGAGTCAAAATGTCTAAGTTTTAAAACAGATGTTGTTGTAAAATTTTGTATAAAATTGCATTTTCTTCCCTTTTTTTGCTGTCTCTTTAATGTTTTTGCATTAAGTATTATCTTCATTTTCTAAAAATTAAATATTATAGTCTGATTTTAAAATATAATAATTGCTGGTGTAGGGTTACATTTGGCAATAAAGCCATTAATGTATTCAGGAAGATTTTATCCTTTTCTCATTGTTTGTCTTTTTGATTGGCTTCTTTTTACCATAAAGCTTAGATGGAATTACAGTGTGCTTCAATTTCAGCTTATTCAAAGTTCTTTACTTATGTTCACCAAGGATTTGATTGTTCTAAGAAACATTTCTGACAGAAAAGTAAGGTCTTTCTATAACACATGGAAATCAATTCTTTGAGTGCAAATCAATAATTTCCTGACAGAGCTTGTTCAGGTTTAACGTAAGTTATGGCAGCAAAGAAAAGTAAAGCAAAAGCAAGAAAACAAGGTATGGAATTATCATTCTTTTCATTTAAACTGAAATGTTAAAATGTTGATTAAAATAGTACTCATTCATTGTAAATTCCAAATAAAACTTTTTTGCAAAATAAGCTACAATAGTTCAAGCTGTTCAAGACTTACACTGTTTGGCTCCAATATTGAATATGAAAATATGTCATAATATTCACCATAAAATTATGCACATAAGTCTTCTCACAGTATTATACACATCAGTCAGAATATACTTAGACATGTTCGTGAAAATAATACAACTTTTAATTTACCATATGGTTTATTATATACTTATTTGCTTTTTTTTCTTCCAACATTTGCCACACTGATATCAATGAAACAAATGAGTACAGTGAAATTGACTTTCTGTGGATTTAAAATTATTATTGTTTTCACTCTACAATTTTATTCTCATTTCTCATATCAGTTAGGTAATATTTCTGATTTATGTGAAGCCATGGTAATTTTGGTACACCTTTGCTGTGAGCCATTTTCAGTGTGCCAGGTGTTGAAATTGCAATCATTAGGCATTTCAGGGTGTCTTGAATTCAGTGTTGAACAAAAGTGACCAAACCATTTGGCCAGTGATATAAACTATTGTGAATGTATAGTTTATTAAGGCTGTGAATCGGACTGCTGTGATTACAGATGTGATGCTTTATATTTACAATAATACTGAGTAAAAAGCAGTGCAAAAAGCTTTCATATTTGACAGCTGCTATTTGAAAGGTATAATTGACACTACTGTAGGATATCAGATGTCATATTACTGTGTATTGCCTTAGCGCACACACAGCCATAATACAATTCTCTCACTTGATGGACTCTTAGAAACTGTTCAAAAGCTTTGGGAAATAATTTTCAAATCAAAGGTAAATTTTTGTTTTTGTTTCTGTAATAAAATAAAATCAAGAAGTAGTAAATAATTAATTTTTGCGGCAAAGATCTACATTTTAGATAAAAGTGTATAAAGTATTAGCTGGCTTGTGAATATAAGGGGATGATCTGCAACATACATGTATAAAAATTCACTGTGACGTTTTATTTTTTTAGTTATTAAGCAGGTCTGTCTGAATGAACTTAATTTAAAGCAACTTGATCAGGCTCCTCAAGAAAAAACCATGTTATAAGCAAGTCATTTTTATTGTAGTTTCCAGACATAATAGCAGTTTGGAATTACAAAATAGAGAGCTTAAAAGGGGACATTTTTGAGCAATGCATGTCAATAAAATTATTGGAAGTAGACTGTTTGTTTTCTTGGACAGTGGTTTTGCCCATTTTTTCAGGTAAAATCCTCTTAGTTGAATGCAAACTTGTTAGCATCAAGCGCATTAAAAGGAAAAAGGCCCCACATAAGTTTGACACGTGATGCTAAAAAAATTCCTTCACTTAAGCCCTGTAAAAACAGCCCTGGTTTTTTGTTCTTCTGTCCATTTATGGGTTGTTGATAAATATCTACCAAGCCACATTGACAACGGAGGACAACAGGCCAGCCGAGATCTATGTAGGCCTTACTGAGAACTTTGCTTGAACAAGTGAAATAAGCTTGTAACTTCCTGCAGGAACTTACGCAAATTTCTTATTAGCAGCTTTACATCTTTCATTTTGATGTAATATTTTCTGATTCAAAGTCTGCGCATGTATGTGTTTACTAGTGTACATGTAAGCTTATGTTGTAATAAACTTTTCATGTGGCAATTTTATCTGAGGAGTGTTGGACATGCCATGTGTGGTACGAAACTAAGTAGGAATAAAATGCCAAGTCGGATCTTGCGTTGATATTAAATCACCCAGATTATAACGCTCTAGTCCTTCTATTGAGCACTCTGCCAACAGGCTTTGATACATATCAAATGGTATACATCTTCCTTTATATAAACTGCAATAGTGACACCTGTATCATGTCATGTTTTTTGATCCTATATTTGTGGTTTGTGTTTAGTTCAAGATGACTCAGAGTTTAATTTCAAATTTGATGGCCCAAGCTCAAGAAATTCAACACCACCTGTTAAACAAGACAGAAAAGATAAAGAAAGGGAAAGACTGGTAAGTACACTTGTCTGTTGGCTTTAAGAAACATCTTTCTCTACAATGGTGACATTTGTTCCTCCTTTCATTGCCCACCAACTTCTGCCCAGTCCTAAAGGTGGTCATAGTTGTTAGGCGTGATGTGTCACTTTTTAGGCTTCTTACATTGTACAATGTTTTCTCAAATATGTGCTACCCCCAGTGAAGCTTTATCCCAGCTGTATTTGAGACAAATCATTCATGAGCATTGTCCCCAAATAAGTGCCAAACCTGATGCACTTGGAGAGGTTTCTTTTACAGGTCAGATTCCACAGGTTACATTATTATAGGTCGCTGTTTTATTGATAGTTAAGTAAACCAAGTAAGGCCATCCCAATTTAATGCTTCGTTTCCCATCGCCCGACCAACCCATTTTTTTGGAAAAGTCAAAAAAAAGAAAAATCCAGAATCACTTGTAAAGAAGCAAGTGTACTTTAATTTACAAGCACATATCTTGTCTTATTAACACCAATTGTCTTAAATTATCATCAATACTTTGTTTTCGTAGCCTTTTTAGACATTTGATAGTCCTGTTAATATACATCTTTTACCATCTGATTATATCTTGCAGACTAAACGTGAGATTTGATATACAATCATGTGTTCATTCTTTTTTTTCTTTTTTTTTTTTTGCCCGACCGACCCACCCACCCACCTTCACGAGAGGGAGGGCAATGGGAAACAAAACATTTTTTTGGGATGGCCTTATTTCCCCTTGATCAAAAACAGCATTTTGGATAAGGATTAGGGCTAGGAGACACTTCTGGTCTTGTTTAAAGTCTGTAGCACAATGACCTGTATTCTGACCTGTGGAATGTGACCTGTAAAAAAACACCTGCCAGACGCACCTCTGTACTAAGTTACTGAAAATTTTTCATACTGCTAGAAAAGATACCATTAAATTAAAAGTGCTATCCTTAAATAAGCATTGCTTTTGAGCCGTGAAAAAGTTTTATAAGTGTTATAAATACTTGTTTTTATGGGATATATTTGGCCTAGTCCTTAAGCAGGTAATTAAATAACATTCAGTTTTTATCAGTTTTGACCACATTCATCCTGGAGTAAGCCAGTAAATTGACTAAAATTGCAAGCAGACAGTGTTGACTTTTCAAATGATGCAGATGCATTCAATGAAATTAAGTAGATGGAAAGTAAGTGGTCACAGAAGTTGATAAAATTAGCATAACCCCAGATAAATGTAGTATATGAATATTTGTAGAGGTCTCAACTTAATTAATAGGTATGATAAATCATTTAAATAGCAGGACCTTGAGAGGAAACTCTTATTACCAGAGCGTTCTCCTTCAATTCCAAGAAAGGCTTCCAAGGAATCTTTCAAGGTACAAATATTAATTTTATTATTAGTGTCTATTTTAGAACTATGTTAAAATGTTTTTGTCTAGAGCAAATCGTACATGCAGAGGTACTAGTTCTTCAGATATTTGCAACAGTACAGTATTGATTTAGATTAAAGGGGTCATTTCAGATCATTTAGCAGAGCTGTCAGTTATCACAGTTTTTCATCAAAGACATTGAGTGACATTTCAAGATCAATGAATCAATGTGTTTGCAAGTCTTTCAGGAGAAAATAGTGGCGCAGATAATGCTGAATAAATGATAAAATAAATTTCTGTGTACTGTTCGGGTTTGTAGCAAGACAGGCAGTGCTACAAACTTGCAAAAGTAAAATTTGCATACGGTATTTCACATGTAATTTGATATCTTGCTTTTCCAGGCGTTGCAACTATTTATTGCTTTTTGCTACATGCAATAGTGACTTAACGTTTCTAGCAGTGGGGAAAAACTCATGATTTTAATACCAAAGGTTTTTCTAAGACTTTTAAATTAATCTGAGGCCATTTTCAGACAAGAAACTTCAACTGCACTACAGCAGAAGTCACGTTTTACATTTTCGTTTCAAAAGTGCATAATGAGCAGGGAATTTTGTCATTCATTCACCGGAAAGTTGGCCTGAGAATCATAAGTTTTAGGCGCCAGTTCCGGTTCCTTGTGTGAAAGTTTGGTCCCCAAGGGCAAATCGTAGGCACCTTTGGTGACTTGGCACCCGTTAGGCAGCAGCCTTGCCACTGCAAAATTTAGTGATTTGGGCAATGGGGTTGGGTGAATAAAAATTACCGGTAGGAGCATCTTTACCTTAGAAAACATCTTGGATACACCGTATCCCCTGGGGAAGTCTTGCATAGGCCCTAACACCAAGATGGTAATGAGTAAATGTAGATTGGATCACCTTACAAGTGACACCTTGAAAAAAAATGCATGGGCAGTGAAGCCAACCACAGATTTAGTTAAGTTAAATTCCTGATTATTTTATGATCATAAACCATCTGATATATATACATGCAAAGATAAAAAGTATGTAAACGTTGCAGGAAATGCTATTGAACTGATCTGTTTTCTTTACATTTATGCTTGGGTAGGCAATGAAAGAGAGCTACAGGCGAGAACAGAAAAGAAGGATAAAAGAATTATCTAGTGCACTGAAAGATCCCTCAGTCATTATTCTTTCATCATGGCTAAAGGTGAGAAAGAACTGATGCTTAAGAAGATTAGATGCATCAATTAAGTTAATTTAACAGGTCTATGTAATGACAAGTTTTAATTTGTCTTGAGGAATGAGATGGTATCATTACTTTTGTACATCAGTATTTGACTACTATTTATATATTTGTTTTTTCACTTCTTTTAATTTTTGTTCTCAAGCCACTGATTCAATTTACTCTTTCCAAGACAGACACTTTTTAGCTTTAGGACCAGCGGGTCCATCTTAGGGAGGTATCTGCTTTACAGGAGGGTATCAATGGGTTGCTGGCTTTTACAGTTAGCGGCTAAGATTTTGTGTGTTTCAGGTGCGTGGAACATTGAAGGGCTGGGCAAAGTTCTGGTGTGTGATTAAACCTGGAATGCTGCTTATATACAAGAGTGCCAAGGTAATTAAACTACAATGTATACAGTTTATTGATCGAATAAGCACACTCAATAAGATTCTTTAGGTGAAAACATTCTGTGCTTGTTTTTCAACCTGTAGACCTTTTTGTTATCCAAACTGTTAATATTGTACCATTAACCAATAGCCCCAGTTCTCCACTCAAAAACACATTTATAGTCCATTATTATTAATTTTGACACATGTTGGTTAAAAAGGAAGTTAAACAAAAACTGTCGAACCACTTGCAGTCTGCACTTTTTAACTGCTGAACAGATAGTAACAAACATTGTTCTATCATTTCTTGCACAGCATGGGCAGTGGGTTGGCACTGTTCTCTTGAATGGCTGTGAGATTTTAGAGCGCCCTTCTAAGAAAGAAGGGTTTTGCTTCAAGATCTACCATCCCCTGGAGCACTACATATGGGCCACAAAGGGTCCCAAAGGAGAGATGGCTGGGTCCATAACACAGCCCCTACCTAAGGATCATCTCATCTTAAGAGCAGACTCAGAATCTGATGGTAAGTGAATATAAATTAGCTTGTATGCAGTTTGGGATTTGGACGAAACATCTATTAGTCCCAACCATCTGACATGAAAATTTATAGTCAAGTACATTTTGTGGTGAAGGCAGGAGCCAATAATGAGGAGCAAGTAACTTCCATGTGCTCTTTTTACAGCATTTCCATGGACCAGTTTATTTTTAGAATGGTTTTTGTGCAGAAACCAGTCAGCAAAACCTACAGCTAGACCTTGATATCTTATACTTCAAATGCACTCATAGGAATGGCAGAGATTCCATTTGTGGAAAAAAGTGCCCTAAAATATATCTAAAAATAAGCAAGTCTGTAAAGATTCTGTTACTTAGGCCTAGTATGGGAATTGTTCACTCCTTATGGCTCCTGTTGATATTTGCGAGCAGTCCAAGAAGAATCCCCTCACCACACCCCCCATTTTTGTATTTCATGGCATAAGATGTGAAGGAACCTCAGCGACTTAGTTCCACTATAAAGAGTGGGATGTATACAATTATTCCAGATGTATTATACCTGTAGGTTTGAGAAAGGCACCCCATCTAGTTCCCTATAGCATCTGTGCTGTGTTGTAACCTTTTCCTTTGTAGGTGATATGTATGCCTTATTTATAGCTACCATTCCAAATTAATTTTTTTTGGCCCTCTCCCCCGCCAATACTCCCTCTCTTAGTTTCTTCCCTTTCCCCTCCCCCCATCTGCTTAGCTTTTTTCTACCCTTATTTACTCCATTAGCTTGTTCTCCTGCGAAGAAGGTATTGTGTGATCAAGCTTAATGTTTGTGTACAATCTTTCGTTCTTTTACCATGTTATTCTGTTAATTATTACACTCAATCAATCAATCAATCTTGATTTTTATCATTACAGGACACTGTTGGTTGGATGCTTTAGAAGTTGCTCAAAACCAAGGTTACAGCATTCAAAAGGAAAACAAAGGAATGTAAGTGTATGCTAGGGTGCTAATCAGATGGCATGCATAAAGTTGTTTGCACTGCAATCAGAGTAAAACCCACATGTACCTCAGTTGCCTATTTCTTTATGAAAAATGTCACAGTCAACTCTGTCAAACATGGCTTAAAATTATTGTTACTCTAACACAGCTAACAAAAGTATGAGGGATCTGATCAACAACAGAAACCAAACAGTCAGAATTGTCATTGGCCAGTTTGACAGTGTTATTAACAATTTATACTGTGTGTATTTTGATCAAGGGGTTCTTTGAACTTTTATTTTTCAGTTGTGTAAAAAGCATCTTAGAAAAGCTCCCTCCATGAAGTACTTAAGAAGAGTACGATAGTGTTTCCTTAAAAAGTGTGGTATTAGTTTCATTTGGGTGGCTACAGCTCACCTTAATAAAACATCAACAGATCATTTTTGAATAAGAATTCACATAATAAATACTAAAATTTTAATAAAAGAAATATAATTTCCAATCTCCCCGACTGGAAAATAGCACTGAAAACTGTATAAAATTTGTCGCTTTATAATCATGGTGATGGCATCATTATGAAATCCACATCAAGACATTGAACTCCTATAACAATAGGTGCAAAACTGTTGATGTAAATGTACATCATGTCCACTATTAAGATGGCCATTACATGCACATGCACAGATGAATAACAATGAATAGATCATGCCAAGAGAGAATAATGCCACAGAGAGGGAAATGCTGGGTGTAGCTCTTGGGACTGATGTGAATTTCACCAAAGTTATTTTTAGACCAATATAATAATTGATTGAACTCAATTAGAAGTTGGTGTCCTGAGGGATCTGTAACCTGTTATTCAGTGTTGTCAAAGGAGAAAATTGGGACATTATGCTCTCTTGGTGTGTCACCATAACAACATTCTGTATTGTTTGCTTTGAGCCAGTTGCACAGTGACATTTCAAACAATCAATTAAATTGAGTGGATGTCCAATGAATAAGACTTCCGTTTATAAAAAATTACAATCTCTTGAAATAACTTAGAAGAAATTTACACTAACACACTAGGATTCACTCTTGATAATAACAGCGGTAATAATAATGATGATCAATGGCAGGTTGAGTGAACTGTATGGCAAAGATGACAAAGAGGACAGGGATGATGAACAAGGGCTTCCTGGTAAAACAGCTAATAATGATAATAAGTTTCCATTTAGTCATTTATGGACTCTGGGATGTCCCTAAGAGCCGGCTGCTGGCTATAATATCACCGGCTGAAAAAGAGCCTTCCACAGGTTCAAATTGCAAAGGAAAACAAAGATGTGGGGTAATTTTGAAGGTGCAATTGAGTAAAAAAGCGTGCTTAACCTTTCCCTAGTACTTAAATACAATGTACCAGACAGCATTAAATGTCGTGCAGAGGTTTTTTTAAGGGATGTCTGCTTGTGTGAGCTGTTAATTGAAATGTTTGATTGATAAAATATTACTTTACTTTTCACTTGTTACATTTTTACTTTCCACTTGTGTCCATTTTTTGTCATTTTACTGTTGTGTTGCCTGGTAATGTTTAACACCTCTTGTTTCTTTCTTTATTCGCAGATCGTGATGAAGACAGCAATGATGGAATGGTTAGTTCACATTATATATTTTTTAAACAAAGTAAGGGGACCAAGAACATGGTTAACCATGAGATAACGAAGTCTGACTCTGGTATTTTCTTGCTTTCTTGTTGACTGTTTTTAGGACAAGTCTGACTCTGATAATGAATTAGATGACACTTTAGGTCCCCTTGAAAAAGGTGGGTAGATCAGATCAAGACATAACTGTTGTTGTACATCCTAGTCACTTAAAGTCCAGAAATGCATGCAATGGCAAAAATGGCAAAAAAAATAATGCCAGCGGGCTGGCGATTCAATCTTAGTTTAAAGAAAAAATTTGTGGTTTTCATATCAAGCTGCATCTGATTATTTTGAATTTGGTTGTTTAGGGTGATGATGATTATTTATTCATTGTTTATTATTATTGAATTAAGATGTTGTATTGCATTTATTGCAGATGCTAATGAAGAGATTGATGATGGGCCAATTGTAGAAACAGTTTATGTGACGGAAAAAGGAGAGGAGTACTTAGGACAGGTAAATTTTGTTACTCCATTGATATTATTATATGAATATTCTTGGCTTACACTGGAGTGTTTACCTCAGGGGTCAGTTGTTAAAAGATAAGCTTCACTGAATCCTGCTTTGATTGTAATTTTAGTGTTCTTTAGCTATTCCAGTTGAATTCATTTCAAGAACTTATTGACCAATCATTTTTAGGCTGGTGAAGCTTTGGAGGAGATTGAAGATGAGAACAAGAGTATTCTTTGGGCACTTCTGAAACAGGTCAGCTTACATTAAAGTATTAGTCTAAAGAGTTAAGATGCTGTAAAAGCAGTGCCAGTCAAAAGTTGGAGTGTCCATGGCAATTAAAGTACCTAGTATAATTTTGCATCAATAAGAAGAATGGGCTTAAGTTGTTGAATTGATTTTTAACAGACTATTAAATCACTGTCAGTTTTCATTGGGTTATTGCAGGTAGTATAAAGTTGGTGAAAATGTTGTAAGTCTATGGTGTCTACATAAATGCCATGCTTTACATGTATGTACAATGAACCTTTTTTCATTGTCTCTCAGGTTAAACCAGGCATGGATCTCTCTAGGGTAACTTTACCAACCTTTATTCTGGAACCAAGGTCATTTCTTGACAAGCTGTCTGACTTCTACTTCCATACTGACATTTTATCTAGGTAACTAAAGAGAATGTTGTTAAATACAAATTACAATGTACCATTTGTCGTAATGTAATGCAGAATTGTGTATGGGATTTGAACGAATGCAATGTCTTTCAATTTTTATTTAATTCACTTGTTTTTGTTTATGCTTTTCCTTTCCAATATTTTTTTTGGTGGTATTTCAAACATTTCACCCTATGTACATAGAGAAACAATGAAGAGCCAAGTATAACACACTTTGCTTTTGCTTTGGGTTCACATTACTTTGTAAGAACAAGTTTGGATCAACCAAAAGTCTAAATACTGTTCTCTTATGTATTACCTTGGGCAAGCTCCTCTCAGCTGTGGGTTTGTAATTTGAACCATTGTTTCCGTTTTGTCTTGCTCTGTACTCTGGTGTGCTATAACCCTCAATTGAATTAAGAACTGTGGGACTTATAACAACTGTTTTGATGATGTACTTAACAGAGCTGCTCGAGAGGAAAACGCCTACAGCAGGATGAAAGAAGTAGTGAGGTGGTATCTGGCGGGATTCTACAAAAAACCAAAGGTTTGTAGAGAAACTTATAAGGCTGTATAGTAACAGTATAATGAGTAATGTGTGTCCATCCATAACCTTCCATGATCTTAGTCTGTGCAAACAAATAAACTGTGCTTTTTATTATTTATCCAGGGTTTAAAGAAGCCCTACAACCCAATTATTGGTGAGTCATTTCGCTGCTATTGGCTTCATCCCAATGGCACAAAGACATACTTTGTGTCTGAACAGATTTCCCATCATCCTCCAGTATCAGCGTATTATGTGTCCAACAGACAGGAGGGATATGTACTCAACTGCTCCATTTTGGCCAAGTCTAAATTTTATGGTAAGCTTTGGGTTTTTCCTTTGGTAATCTTCAGTCATACTATGCTCACAGCACTGGTCTCTGTGCATATCAGGTGAAGGGTAAAGGTAAAGGAGCACACGAGCTAAAGGCCCACACGGCCGGAGCTTATACCGATTTCCGTAGCATGAAGCATGCCTAGGAGTATTGCTACTCCCCCTGGACGGGATACTAGTCCATCGCAGGGTTACCCCTAAGCAGTGTTTCGCCGGTACCCATTTACACACTTGGGTGAAGGGAGACAAAGTGGAGTAAAGTTCCTTGTCTAAGGAAACAACGCGACGGGCGAGGCTTGAATCCCGGACCTCCAGATACAGAGTTCGAGGTGTTAACCACTCGGCCACACAAGCTTCCGCGATATCACCTCAAAAGAGGGTTAAAATACTCCCTATTCGATCTTTCTTACCATATCAAAACGGCTATTAGAATTTAAACACATTATGTTACACATAAGAATTTTTTTCATGTAACATAAATTGGTCTTATCTATTTCTCTTCTCAGAAATAATTCTTCCTCATGATGTCTTTATTGAGTTTATTTACTGTTCTTTTATAGGAAATTCTTCATCAGCCATTTTGGATGGATGTGGGACAATGACGCTGCTAAGGTTTGGAGAAGAGTATGTGATGACCATGCCCTATGCACATTGTAAAGGTTAGTTCACAAAACAGAAAACTTTTTTTTGTGGCAGCCTTTTGAAAGGGAAGGGCAAAGGAATTTCTGCGCGAGGACGCGCGCGAAGGGGAAGGTAGTAGTAGGGAGTTCCTTTCCCCCTCGCGCGCCTTTCGCGCTTCTCGAGCGCCCGAAATTCCCTTCCTCTCCCTTTCAAACGCCAGTGCTCTGTTTGTTAACACAACTGACTCTTTGTTTAGAGATGTAATTCATCTTGCACGCTTTTCGTTTTATTCTTAAGGTATTTTGATTGGCACGCTAACAATGGAATTGGGTGGAGTTGTCACCATAAACTGTGAAAAGACTGGATACAAGGCTGAAATCGAATTCAAGCTTAAGGTATGAAACTGGGTCTTCCTGTCGTCCCGTAATTACCTTCTGAATTAAATTGACATAATGAGGATTTGCTGGGAAAAATTTTTAACCATTTTACGACCCACACAAAAACCACACTTCTAAGTGTTTTTTTTTTCTTTGATGCAGACCATTTTATAGTACTTTCGGCTGGAACTTGCTATTGTGCTACACAAAATGAATTCATAAATTCCTTCTGTTACTTAAAAAGAAAGATGTTAACTACTCCTTTCCAAATTTATTACTATCCATAGTAAATGGCATCATAGAGAAGTATAGTATTGGAATTTACAGAATACGGGGTATATTTAGGACAAAAATTTTTGGCATGTGGGATAGCTGACCCCCTATTAACAAACGGGGCTTCATGATCTGTTTAACGTTTGTTAAAGTGCATTGAGACTTTTTTGTCCATTTATCAGCCATTTTGGAAGAAGAGTGGAGAGTCGAACAGTATTGCAGGCAAAATCAAAATGGGCAAGGAAACATTGTGCAGAATAGAGGGCAAATGGGTGAGTTGAAAAAAAGGATACTTTGTTGTAACTCCTATGGAGTGACTGTTACAAGAGTTTTAAAGAAGCAAAGGTTTCTCAAATGTTAATACCTCTGCTCGCAAGGTACAAATGTTGCAACTCTTGTTCAAGAAGTGTTGAATTTTGTGTAAACATGTGTAAACATGCCATTTTTAGCGTTGTTAAATGAGAATATAGATGGGTTCCATTCAGTACAACAAACTGCGAATTCTTGAACAACGAATGTTGAATTTGTTTGTAACTCGTCGAACAAACTGCAACATCGCTCGCAGTTTGTTGAGCAGCAAATATTGAGCGATACTGACGTTACGCGAACTATCACATTCGCGGAAAACTGTCATTTTACAAACTCATTCAACTTACCTACTTTTAGCCTGGTAAAAGAGTAGTCAACCTTGAAATATGCTCCATAATTAAAAAACAGTAAAAGAAGTAATTGTTAAAATGCATTTGTTTTCGCGTGGTTATTGTTGAAAATGGCAAACGGTAACCGCAATCAACCGCAATAAATGGCGCGAAAAATAATGATCACGTGGTCACCTTTGCCGTAAAACCCACACACGCCTTCGACAGTCATATGCCTTGGGAAATTAAGCAATTTCTCTCGTGGTACATTAAGTGTCCTTATTTGAACAAACTCAATGAAGAATTCTGCAGTGATTGTATTATGCAGAACGTTTCATAACAGCCTAATGACTGTTTGTTTTACTTACGGGAAGCAAGTGAATATAATTCACAACAAGAAAAATTGATTCATTTCTGTCTCTAAAAAATCGTGTTATTCTCAGAAAAGCCTCATCTTTTTGTATTAATTTCTTACTTTTATGTCTTTTATGAGTCTACTTTGCTCCATATACGCTTAAAAAATCACATGCTTTCTGCGCTTGTCAGTAAATTTTTTTGTAATTTATACGCCTGCGATAGCGAAAAAAGGCCTTTATACGTTAAGCAGCTAACCCCACTGGCACCCTCTTACTTGATACGCACAAAAATACCGGAACGGCACCCGGAACACCCCAGCAAGCCTGGGAAAAAAACAAACAAACAGAAATCCCTACCCAATCTGAAGATATTCCTCTTTTTTGCTGTTTGCGTGATCCAGTTGATGTGTTCCGCGGGGTGTTTGGTTTCCCGGGTTTTAATACATACTGTTTCATTCGTGGGGTTCAGAAACCCGGTTGAATGTCCCACGGTAAAGGTGCGGTCACACGCTGTTTTATTGTTTTTTCGTGGTAAAAGGCTTACTGTAACTGGAACTGCTCTGTTTTTTGTTTTGTTTTGTTTTTGTAGGATGGTGAGATTCTTATAACAGACTTAAAATCTCCAATTCCTGCGGGAGTAAGTAAAAACACTATCTTTCGAGTTGACTTTGCGACGACAAAAATATATTCTGACTCAGTTGCCATCACGTGAAGTTAGGGTTAGAAGCGACGTGATATTAAAGAAAGCAAGGAATGGTTATCTATTATTCTTAATTAGCTGGGCCTTCTAAAGCACTGATTAATTCTCCTTCAGTCTTTTAAAAGATAATTTTTTACAAGCGTTTTATAAGCGATTAGAACCGGTAACCAAGCGACTTCACCTATGTTTTTTTAGGAAGTGGAACCATTACCTGAGCTGTTTTGGGACCCAACGCCTGAGATCAGGAGTCAGAGGCTTGCCAGATATCTAGTGGACTATAACACCCAAGGAGAATTTGAGTCTGAAAAGTAAGTGCCTGTTCTGGATTATAATTAACTTGAGTATGATTGTCAGGGTGGGTGTTGTCCTGACTGAGATAGTCATGTTAGGGACGTGGGCTTAAGCAAATACGCACGTCAACCGGTAGTGGGCTGTTTTCATTCTTGGGCCGTGGTTTTGCTTAAATGTTGGTCAGATCGTCTTTATGAGACTATGGACGATTAGCAATACAGATTTTGAAGCGTTATGGAAAATTTAAAGAGAAAGGGGCTCACTTCCGTTTGACGTGCGTCGTTCAGAAACGTTTTTGCTTAACCCTTTCACTGCCAATTTTAGCCAAAAGCAAATTTCGACCAAATTTCCGATTTTTCATTTTGTGAAGGTTTGACAAACAAATATTACCATGTGTAAGTACAGGCAGAGAGCTTTTATTTGAATGGTCACATCATAGGATTTCGTCCACAGACTCAAAAGTTAGAGTCATCTTACAAAATTCTTTCAAGTACCCTGGCAATGAAAGAGTTAAGCCCATCTACTCGGACAATCATATCAGTGTCCGATCTAGGGGAGTTTTGTTTCGACCACAGAGTGGGCCCTTCTCTTACCTTAAGGTCTGGATCGACCATTTCTCGGCATGTGGACACGCTTTCCTTTACCCTGAGAAAACAGCCAAAATTTCGCGACGCTACCCGAGGTTTCCCCGCAAAATGACGTCTGAGAAACGAGCGCTGAAATTCCATACTGATGATGCGTCACTACCAAGATCTGGGTAGAGCACTACTCAAATATGGACTTCCCGTAGTCGTTTCTCAGACTTCATTTCGTGGGGAAACCATCATTCAGTTCCTCATTCATTTTTCGTTTTGTAGCCGATGTAAACAACCCCTTGATATGAGCATAACATGCTTGCCCATGCAACAATCCTGAGGGACTGTTTTGCGCCAGATGATATTATCATAAGAGAGCTGTGCATTATTATCACTGCCTAACTTTTGCAGGTTGTGGACACATGTCAGTGACGCTATCAGAATGAACGATCAGGTAAATTTTGCATATGATACGTCATGTGGTGTGATAATAGCAATGCTTTTTCACCTACGTTCCCGTTCTTTGTGTCGTCAAGCATTGTCCCTCCTTATCGGTTGCGTAACGACACAAATACAACAATTCGCCAACTGAAGACGCGTAGGTCAGTTATTCGTCAATTGTTCCCCGTCCCTGGTAACCGTACCAGAAGTCTTTGCGAAAGTTAACTCGGCCCAGTCTCCTTCTCGTTTCTAAAGTGGCGACCGGGAATGGAGCTGAAAAAAAATTTGGCGGGAAAAACAACCGGAGATTCGCCTCGCATCTACCTCGTGCTTTCTCCTCTATCTGAATGCCTGAAACGGGCCATGAAACTAAAAGAGCGTTCATTTACAGGCCACCTCTCCACAACGGCCACCTCTCTTAAACGGCCATTTTTTTTGGCGGACAGTCCATACATACATTCACCCTTGTTTCAACCTCTCAACAATGGTCACTTTCTTCTGTCCCCAAGGTGGCCGTTTGAAAGAGGTTCAACTGTAGATGATGATGAAGTGGTGAGAAGTCGTTAGAGACATTCTGAACAAGCATCGTTAATTTATTAATTTTTCTTAAATATTTAGGAAAAAGCTACAAACGAGAAGTTTATTCTTGAAGAGGCGCAACGGAAAGGACACAAAGAAAGGAGAGAAACTGGAGAAGAGTGGATTCCTAAGCTGTTTGAAAGAGATCCAGCGGCTCCTAATGCTATCAACCGATGGGTTTACAAATATAGAGAGTAAGTACGAGTTTTGCTGCTACTACAGGACGACAGGGTTAGATTAGAAGTAAGTAACGCCCAAGTAATAACGCGCTTGCGTATTTGTTCGATTCAGGTTATATATCACTGTGTGAAAAGCGTGACACGCTGAAAATTTCGTTCAATGTAAATGTAAATTTTTTTGGTGATTCAGTGCAGTATTCATGGTGTATTTTAGGTTTACCAAACGCAAGCCCAGAAATAGACTTTCATTCGTCGCTCGCGGTCGGCCGCTTCGCGGCCAAAAAGGCTCGCTCCGCTCGCCAAGAGGTCGACTTGTAGCAAGTCTAGCCCAGAAAAGGCACATCGTCCACAGCTCTACAGTTCATATTTTGTGGTGGTCAATAAGTCTCTTGACTTCGATCGCAAACTTTTTACCGGGTTGTGGACTTCGAGAAGTTCTAGTGAATCAGTAAGCAGATACGTTTGTCTTTTGTATTACCTCCTCAATACACTGTCAATACATGCACTCCGTTAAGGATCTTTTCGATAGATTTAGTATAATGGTCTGTTGCCTAATTCTTTGATTTCGCTTTCTAGTGTGAGGCCATGGGACCCAATGACAGATCTGAGAGAGTATGAAAATGACGGTATCATTAAGACTCAGTACCGACTAAAGGCACCAATGGTGCGAACAACAAGTCTACTGAGTGTCCAAACACCGGAAATCAAGAAACCGATGTCTAAACGAAAACGGCCTTCATCTGGCCGATCAAGGGGAAGTGGACAGGCGAAGGGATCACGACGCAATTCCATGGACCGTTCGGGAGCGTCAACGCCCGATCCTGAAGCCGAGCACTCGAGCAGCATCGAAGATGACGATGATGATTCGAGCCTGAAAGAGAGTATCGACGCAGCAACGCTGGAGAAGGTATTTCAGCCGCTGAAGGATTTACAAAAGGAGTGTGTTCAGCAAATGAGAGCCATCAGGAGTGATCTGAGACGACATTACTCCTCTCATCAGGACGATATCGCCACTCTACAGTTTAAAGACTGGCTTCTATTGCTGTTATTTGTCATCACCCAGGGGTTCTTCCACTGGTACTACAAAAGGTGACCTGTACTGCACTGCAGGGATACAATTAATTCATTTCTTCACCCTTGGGGAAGAATTGGGAGAGAGAGAAAGGTGCCTTCTCTCACCCTCCCCCTTGGTGTATTTTGTCAGGTTTTTGCCTCTTTTGAAAAGGTACTTGTATGTAATTAGTAGATGTTAAGGTCCTATATTTGTGCCCCGTGGGGAGTCTGTTTGGGGTACTTAACGTTAACGCGATTGGTCTCGTAACCCCCTCCCCCTCCCCAGTGAGATAGAAACATCCCCAATTTATGGCATTGTAGACAGCGAAGAACGTGCAAAATACACAAAAAAAATGACTGCTAAGACTTTTACATTTTAAAGGAGGAATTAAAGCTGTTGTGTCAGTCATTCTGGTGTCTTGTAGACTCAAGATGATATTACAAAAAACGTATTTTTATATCATGAAGATGTCTGGGAGACGTTTTATGTTCTGCTTGTAACTTTCAGTTTTCTTTTGAATGAAGCAACAGTTCTCACCATGTGCGTTTTTTAATTTTTCAGTAAATAATGATTCCCACCTGCTTATGTAATTTTGATTTTGCTTATTTATTTCAATATGATTTTCACGAAGGCCTTGCATTTTGTCTTAGTTAAAGGAACAGTAATATCTAGAAGTAAAATAGGGAGTAAAAATGAAAATTCATATTGAACAAACACATTTTATATATTAAAAAATTTTAAAAAGAATCCTCAGACAAGCTACACTTTGAAAAAAGAGCCTGTCAATGTTTTCAATCGCTGTATACGACACTTATAAAGTTTCTAATTGTGTCGCGGTTATAAAATTGACCTTCACTGAAATTTCCACTTAAGGAAAAATGTACAAAGTATTATGAAAAATTCAATAAAAGTATTTTATCCTTATTTATGAAAAATAGTGATCACAAATTTATTATTAGGAGAAATAATTGTTATTCTCAATAAATGGTAAGATTGAGGAGAAACTCTAGCCGGCGAAGCCAAGCCTTTCTTTCAATCCCAGAGAAGTGAAGCTTTTTCCTCTCACGTCGTGGGAAAACGTGGACAGTTGGCTAAGGGATACCCCAGGTAGATTGCCTAAACACTTTTTGTAACGGGTGATATTTGATGGCAGTGCACTGTTTCTGGATTAGGAAACAAGTTTAAATAAATTAGAGCATTTTTTCTCCTTTGGGTTAATCTTTAACCTGTGGCGTTTTCTAAACTTCTCTGTTGCATCAAAATGTCCGTTCAGCCTCCAACGTATTCTGGTTAATTAGAGCAATGAATAATGAGTGGAACCACGTGTATTGCTATAGGGGTCCTGTCGACTGCGTCATCCACAGTGACGACGTACTCCACGAAAAAAAAAAACCTGGAAACAATGTTGCAAACAGTGCGGTTCTTTCCAAGGCGTCTAGCCCGTTGGGCGTTTTTCCCAGCGAGCGGCGCATGCGTAGTAGTACTGTCAGTTTTTTAAGTATGTTTAGGGACAGCAAAAATAAAAACCGCGGTATTAGAATGTTTTGTCGCACTGACATTCAAATGTCACCTTTTAAAGAAATTTAAATAGGATAGTTTTTTGTTGTTGGGTTGACATTAGTAGTTAGGCGTGTCTTGTGTTAAGAAGACGCTGTTGGTTGGTTGTAGTCGTTGGAACTGAAGTGAACAAATTTTTACCAGTTTTGTGCAATGGTTGTTTTTGCCATAAACATTTGAAAACCGTTTACGTCATTTGCGTACAAACTGGGACGCAGAATGGAACGGATGCTGTTAAAGAATTTCTTGTTCCGTTGACCAGAACTATCTGGGACTTATTAAACCTGGTCAAAATAGATGCATGATGTTGTACCGATAAAATCCCAGTACGTTGGTGACAGGGGTAGGTTTACTACCTACAATATATATATTTTTGACGTGCATTTTGAACAGTCCTTTATAAATTTCATATTCTGGAAATTTCCCGTTTAGGAATTCAAATGTTTCTGGCAAACAACAGTGATTGAGCAAGGCAATGTACAATTAGTAAATTTCAATTGAAATATGACTCGTTATTTAATAGTTTGTTCAATAAATCACCTTTCTTTATGATGTTTGTGTGTGAATGATTCAGCAGCGTAATCCAAACTTCTCCTTTCCCCACCCCCTCTTCCACTTCTGTTACGCTATCTAAGACAGAACATCCCTGAGCAAAGGGTCTGCCGATGCTTGATTCAGTGAAATGTCAGAAATGTTTTGCAATATGAAAGGAATTTAACTGCTGTCAAAATAATGGACAGACTTAGTTTGTGAAGTGTCAGTTGCCTTATAAAATCTAGTGTTTACCTTTCTTAATCCACCACTTCCCCCACCCACCATCCCACATTGTAAGCCTGAGTCCTGTACATCAGCTGCATTCAATTAAACCCACGAAGGAGTTACTCTTAATGGACACCCGAAGGTTAGATTGTGAGTAAGCTGTCTGGGCTGGGTTGTGAGAGCTTAAAAAGCAAATTCAGTTTAGTTCTCTTAAACTGCAATTAAATAGATCCTTATCTATATATGTAAATCCCAAAGGGGCAAAAGGGGACAGACTGGAAAAACTGTTGCTTCTGCAAATCTCTAGTCTACCTGAGCAGACACCTTTCTTGGCTTAAATATCTGTCATAACTGTTTATCAGTAGGATATTACACTGTCCGTAGACCCCTATTTTTTCAAAGCATCATCTAGCCCATGTGGCAGGCTTTAAAATGGGCAGACGGGAAGAAAAGTGTGAAAACGGAAAGGGAGCAGTATGTTTTCCTTCTGTCCCTAACCTCATCTCCCCTTTCCCTCTTTCCCCTTCCCTTTCAATGCCTGCCATGCAGGGTAAAGATCATAGAGATACAGTGTTCACTTTTATGGACGGCCATCTTCGTTTCAAATGTACTGAGAGGGTGGGTCCTGGGGTTTTGTAGCTGTGGGGGGGAGGGGGGTGCCTTCCCCCAAACCATCCCCTGCCCAGTAAGTAGATTAAATACTCATCCCAGGCTAGATTCAGACATTTGAAGCCATGGTGGTTGCCTGTAAGGGTAGATGGTCAATCCCAAAAATCTTACGAAAAAATAGGGACTGTGAACAGTCTAGTAGGATGTCTGAAATGCATGCAATGCCATTAAATCCTATACCTATTGGTTTCAGCCCAGAAAAAATCTTAGGAGGAGCCACCCACAAATTCAACACAGTTGCGTGGTTGTACTTAAAGCCCGAGGAACTCAGACTACTTTTCTCTCACCATGGAGAAAAATAATTATTATATGCCAAACTGAGCATTAAAACCCTCTAAACATTCCATAAGGATTAACAAACAGATGAGAAAATATTAATTTATAGAATATTCCATGAAATTTTCAAACAGTGAGCAATATTTATTAGCACTGCATGAATGACACAACTAACGTACAACTAAGATTTTGTTTTAACAAATAACGATTTTGTTTTAACTAACATACAACTAAGATTTTGTTTTAACAAATATCAAATACATCTTTTGGATATAGTAATATGGTTAAAAAACATACCAAATTTACACTATTCAAAGAAAGGAAACTACAGGCATTTAATATTCGCAATAGTACATAAATTATTAATCTTGGCAATATATGCACCAAGGGAGAAATACATTAACCAGTCAAAAATTCAAATTAGCCTAAAAGACCAACAAGCTTAAATAACGTTTATTATACTACTACATGAGAAATTTCTGCAATTTGAGTGGCTTAGAGTAGTGGTATTTCAGCTTAATTTTTAATACCTACATATGAAAATTACAAACCATTTGCACGTAGAAGTATAAACAAATAATAGCATGATTTGTATGTGATATCTGTCATAAATACCACTCATGATATTTCAAAATTGTCTCAAATTTCACTCGCCTAACAACTCATGAAATTACGTATAACAATTTCGAAAATTATATCACTTGTGGTATTTATGCCAAAATTATCACTACAAATCATGCTATTACCTATACAAATACAGTCATCTCTCTCTCTCTCCCGGTGGACACCTTTGCCATAACAGACACCCTTACAATATGGACAGCAGCTTTATCCCAGGCAAAAATAAATAAATACACACAATTGACTGAAATAAACTCCTGCTATTACAGACTCTCGCAAATAAGGATGCTAACTTGAGGTCCTTACAGTGTCCGCTATAAAAGGAGTTGACTGTAGTGAGCAGGAATCTTAATATAAGCAAAATTAATATATTCAAAGTCGTGACAAACCAATATATGAAAAACTGTGAACGATCAGTAAACTGTCAAAAACTATTAAGGTTAATGAGAACATGTTAAAGCACCGAAGCCACTTTCAATTAAAACCCTAATTTCCATCTCCGCAGATGACAGGAAGTCATAAATAAGCAATCTATCCGGCCACCCATCCCCATGTATGAAAACTGATATGTCTGATAAGACTCGATATTCTTTTACAAAACACACAGAAGGGGAATACAATGAACACAACATTAACTACGACTATCCGTGTTCTTTCTTTTCATGAAATGGAAATTTAAATGTATCTAGCTAGCTGTTGAATTTTAGAGCCTTGAAAACAAGCCTTTGCTAGATAAGTGAAGTTCTCGTGAACTCAGACGATGTTAGCCGTGTATTCCACAGCAGCGGATCTGTCGTAACGAGGTTTTCGATATCGAAAGACTGGTATAAGCCCAAGCAAACTGTAAATAACACCTGTGATAATCAGAGCGTAGCCAACAGAAACAAAGATCATCGCAGGTCGTCTTGGCATGACATAGTGTGATAAAAGGGAAAGAGTTATTCCCAACAAAAGCATTACCAAACCAGCGAAAACGATTTGCCAACCCCGTCGCCGCCAAAACGAAGAAAATTCGCGACCTGTATTCACGTCAACGCCGTCTATAAAAAGACGAAATCCTCCAAAATAATTCGTCCAAGACAGGGAATTGTAAATTATCAGAAAAGAGTGTCCATCTTGCTCCCACTCAAATTGGCCGCCGCTAAAACAAAGTGGACTACAGGGGTTGTACGTCAACTTATGGTGATCCATTTCATGGCCGTTCACGTAGATACGGTACTCTTCACAAATACAACCAATGTCACGAACCAGCTGGACTGTATACTGGCGATATTCTGGTCCAACTTTGAGGTTTTGGGCCCAAGTAGAAGTTGTCTTACAGCAGCCAGGCATGATGTATTTCGAATGGCAGTCGCTGGCTATTCCTGGGCTAGGTTGAAGAACTTTTCAATTAATTTTTCGATCAACTGCCTTTAATTAGCCTTTTACTAAGTCGACGTCCTCTTATTTGCGGCTTTTAGTCACACCAATCAAACGATCAGGAATAATAAGCGCAAATCATCCGCAAAACCAAACTTTTCTTCGATCAAAAAGACTGTCACGTTGGTCGAGTCGCGTGACGAACCAGGTTTGTTAACTCAAGCGTGCAATGCATTGATGTTCTCCCAGTCCCTCTCGGTTATTTCACTTCGTGAACCACGTGACCCCAAACGATTTGGCTGCGCGAAAAAATGAGGCCAAGGCAAGAGCAGTCTCTCCGTTTCCTAATACTGTCGAGTAAAACGCGCGAAACACGCAAATGATCACGCTTTTAAATCACGCTTTGCCACTCGACGCTCGCGCACGCGTGCACTCCCCTCACCAAGACAAACTTAAAGCAACGGCCTGGCCAGTATAAAATCTGAAGAAAAAGAGAGACTGCTCGCAGGCTATTGACATTCGTGCCCCCCGGCCAGGGAGTAAAGCAAAAAAAGAAAGAAAGAAAATATGCGCAAACTTATCCGTCGAAAAAATATATCATGATGATACTACTTATTTTTTATTACCATTATTATTTTCTTTAACTTTATGATTCAATTTCTCAGTCTCCTCTCCATGGTCGCGTAAAGATCAGTGAACTTAACCTCATACCCAGGGCTTTTACCTATATGAAAATTGAAACGCCCTGGGGACGTGGTGGGGTGTAACTAAACTGCGAAAGGAAATAAATGATACAGTATTACTATTTCTTCGTCTTTTAACGGTAAGGTTTGAAATGACTGTCCAGTTTCCTTCACGATAGCAAACGCGATTTTAGAGGTCAGAAATTTGTCTGATTGTAAATCAAAACTTTGTACGCAAACTTCTACACGTTATTTATCCATACAAAATAAAACTGGGCATCGATTGGTCAATCAACCTCGTCCCGCCAGGGCGCTTTTCCATGGCTTTGGAGGTGGGGCGGGCTTTTCCCGCCCCACCTCCAAAGCCAGACGAGGTTGTTGGTCAATATCCCTGATTTTTAATTTTGATCACTTAGCTGTTCGCGTGACCAAAATCTAACATACCCTAATTTATGCGAATAAATTATTTTTTCTGAGCCACAAACTTCTTCGCATGCATGAGGGTTATTTATTTATTTATTTATTTGAGAACTAGTTTGAATGACAAAAAGTTTTAAAAATAACGGGATAATAATTTGGATATTGAGATACTGGGTCGATACCCAACTTTTATCCTAAGTATTTTTGATCAATGCCTTATGCACCTTTTGTCAACAAAGAGAGACAATTAAGAACGCTTTAAAACAGGCACGGGAAAAAAGGATATTAATTAAGTAATCAAGAAATACCATCACGATGGAAGATATATACTTATTATAACAAAAACGTTTATATTTATTTGCTTTGCAAGCGGCTTCTATCCCCAGATATTTGGCTTTGTTACAAGTTTCATTTGAATATGAAAACAAACGGAGCCTGTTTTGCTGCAGGTACAATTGAAACCTTAAATAGTGGCGAGAAATTGAGCGTCGATTAAATATAATAGAACAGCACGGATATCTAGATTCTGCAAAATCTCACAAAAAGCAGCGTGCTGAAAATATTATATTTTTATTTAAAATTTGGTGTTTTCCCTCGTTTTATGTCTACAGCCGGGTAACAAAAACTACAAACAACGTTGAAAATATTTATAACTATATTTTTCATAACAATATATTTTACAATTTGCACGCAAACGGTGGTACTGTGCCCGTTATCTTTTCACGCCAACAGGCCGTCGGTTTGGACCATATCATGTCCTTTCCACCACGAAATTCGGCAATAACCTTTAAAATGTATTGAATGCTAATAGAAATCTGCGGTTTAAAGTTTTATTACACTGTGTAAACTGGGCCAAAACGATAGTTGTGTATCGCCGCGGGTGAAATCAATCCTTCCACAATCTTTAACAAGCCAAAGATTAACAGAACGCGACCTAAAAGTTCCCAAAGTAGAAAGCAAGGCACCAGGTCCTCGATGTAGCGTATAGCTTCCAGTGTAACTCCGATTAAAACCTCCATGACACCGTGACAAATGAGAACCCATCCTCGACGTCTCCATATTGTGCTTGGAGTGTCATCTGTATTCACTTGAAAACCGTCGATAAACAGATGATATTCCACCACAGAACAAGTCCCTGGTACAATCATAAGAAGAAAAGAACGCCCATCGAACTCCCAAGAGTACTGCTCGCTCGGATGACAAACAGCCAAGCCGTTTAAACGTTTGAATGTTATGTAATCAATTTCCAAACCATTTGTAAATATGCGAAATTTTTCTCCCCACCATCTCTTTAGACGAACAAGTTCAACAGAGTATTCCTTTCGTCCCGAGAAGAAGTCGAAACGTCTTTGCCATTTTTTGGTAGTTTTCCACAAGTACGACTGCATTGGCTTGAGTTTAGTTCGTTCAACTTATCCCCTTCTGTTTTCGCCGGTTTTCGGTGTTTGTATGTTAATTGTGTAAGAAAAATTCATTTTGCAACGTCATGCGGGCCTTTAGTGCTGTTCAAGCCTATCTTTTTGTTGAATACAATTAAATGACAGTCCAATCAATAACTATTCTGNGGCTTGAGTTTAGTTCGTTCAACTTATCCCCTTCTGTTTTCGCCGGTTTTCGGTGTTTGTATGTTAATTGTGTAAGAAAAATTCATTTTGCAACGTCATGCGGGCCTTTAGTGCTGTTCAAGCCTATCTTTTTGTTGAATACAATTAAATGACAGTCCAATCAATAACTATTCTGGCCAGTCTTGTTTACAGCCGACTGTTTTTCTTTATGCTTTGATATCGATGTAACTCAGGAAACCAGCACTTCTTAAAAACAAAAAAAATAAGTTGAGATATGCTATAATATTTATCAGTGGTTACTACAAGGAGGTTCAGTGTTGCAAGCAGAAGCTTAAGTAATAAGCGACAAATTTCTCGATCACGACTGAAAAATGATGGAGAAATGAGAGAATTTAAATTATTTGTAAACAAAATCCATTTGGTAGAATGTATACACTGTATGTGTGAAAGCGTTTAGATCCCTGCAAGTGGTTATTAGGTGATCTGGTATAAAAACATAAATTCTTGTTTATCCTTCAAGGCAAGCAATCAGTATCAATATAGAAGGCTAAATGATAATTTGGATGAGTTATACTGACGAATATCGTCGCAGTTTTGATACAGTCATACAGTTGATGAATGTATAAAGTTTAGGTTGCCCGGGGCAGATAAAATAATTAAAACATGACAATTAAAAGAACCACAGAACGAGTCGGTTGTATTTAATTACACCCACTTCCTTTTAGGATTCAAAGCTGTTTTGCATTGCTAGGAAAAGCTTTATTCTATAGTATTTCAAAGTATTTACAATATAGAGACGCCGAGGAGTCTCTTCTTTCGATTGCAAGTATATCTGTTTGTTCCTCACTGCAATAGACCTCCTTGGCTTCTAGGTTTCCCCAGTGGAGTTCATGTACCTACCTGCTTGACAGGCTTTTAAAGGGGGAGGGACAGGGTAAATAAAGGGCCGCGAAAACGCAATAGGCGCGAGAGCAAGATCGCGGTGTGACGGAATAAACAGGAATCATCTTGTAAACTTATCGCTGCAGAACTTACAGGATGATAGATATTGCGACAATTAAGTCACGCGCGTCGCTTCCACTATAAATAAAAATTGTTCGCAGGATAATTGTTGCTTTCTCGAGCCTAAAACAGGTTCCTTTTTGACGATTGGTCAGAACCTGGCCAATCAAGCAAAGCTAGTGGTTCTTGAATTCACTCGGTATCTCCCCTTGTTCTAGTTATTTTTGCCGCGCCTGCAATGATATCGCCGTACGTTGAACATCCCGTCCCGATTATCTGCTCATGGTTCTCTTTGGATAACTGCTAGCTTTTACACCGTAGTGCGCGAGCGGTGAAGTGGGAATTAAAGACGACTACGCACACCAAATAAAGGAAGTATTCTTCTCATCTTTCCATAATATCCTGTGATCTCTGTTTTCAGCGCTAAGGCGGGGCCTGGGAAGCGCACCCTTTGAATTTTCAAGGATGGTAAGAAAACAACTATTTTCTGGAACTTAACAATGGCAGGATCCGATCACTCCTGGTCACCGGTCAGACTGACTGACAGCCTACAGGTTATTTATCGATTCATTATTTTTTTCGCCAAAACAAGTCTAAGCCAATCAGCGCGGAGTTAGTTTTCCAACAGCAATGGCGGATGGCGAAGTGTCTAGAATAGCTAGGTAGAATAACCTTTCATTGGACAGTGGTTGAACTTTCACTTCAATTTCACAGTCATTGTGTCGACCGTCGTCAACGCATAGTCTTGGACAAGTTTTCTTTGCACACTACACGTTTGTCACGTGGAGTCCCTCAAGGCTCTGGTTTAGGACAGGGATTACTTTTCTCTATACATTTCTCCTTTCGAAGATGTAATTATGGCTCACGGCTTAAATTCAATGATGTATACGCCGACAATTCACAGATTTACATTGTTATGCGACCAAGAAATCGTGTTCAACTGTAATTGTCATTTTATGCGTCAAAACAATTCTAAGCCAATCAGCGTAGAATAAGATTTCCAACAGCAATGGAGGATGGAGAGGGGTCTAGTAAAGGTTGCTTAACCTATTTATTGGGATAGTGTTCGAACTTGCTGTTCGATTTCAGAGTCATCAGAATCTACCTATAAAGGTGTGATTCCTGTCATGCAGAACATTGCAAATTTTCGTGAGAGAAGAAATCTCTTGGTGAACTGACGTACTGTAGCACTCAAAACACTGCAGCCAGTAACAGTGGTCAGTTTCGGATTTGAGCTTTAAAGTGGCAGTACTGGTGCCCCAAACACTTGATCTGACTACACAACTGCTTCATACAGTGCATGAGGAGTGAAATAAATTAGCACAATATTGCTTCTAATATATGCTGTAACCCAAACCTCGTGCCGTCACACCATTCTTTCTTTAGGTTATTCAAAAATTTAAGAACAAACAGAAAAAGGGAAATCTCGCGTACCAAACATTTTTCCTCGCAAAATGTTCTGTTCCGTTTGTCATTGTCCTCAGAATTTTCGTTTGTTCGGAATTTTTGGTTGAAAGGTTGGCGTTTCAAAAATTCAACAGTTCTTAGTTTTCCGGAAACCTGCCCAAAAACTTTTCGTCTCGAATTTTCTGGAATACTTAGACTGAGTGGGATGCAACCTGGCGACTACTGCAGCGACCAGTGAACCAAAAGGCTAAACCAAGAAAAAGTGTATACCAGGAGGCTGTGCATACATATCCTCCTCATTCAAATATACGAATGGTCTCACAGTTGGTGACGGCTCCCTGTGATAATGACTGGAAATGATTGCCTTTCTGCGGAGAAGAGAAATACATGTATCCACTTTCATTAAGGGTGGGGGACAGGGGGGGTCCAAACCTCCAGCCTCCCATACCTAGCCTGTGTACAGCCACTCCCTCCTTTCAGGAAAGAATCATTGTTGCGTATTTCCCCCTGTCTCCCGCTTCTTACCCTTAAGAAATCTCACCTCACGCTCTGTCCTCCTCCGCCTCCCGTATCCTTCTCTCCCCCGCTACCAGATTGTGAGGAAAAGGAAGTATTATTTTACACTGACACCAAAAAAAAAACATCTACGCTCTTTTTAAAGAGCGTGCTTTACTAAAAGTTTTCTATAAACAGTTTATGATAATCTTCCTTATTCGACATAAACGGATTGCAAGATTAGCTCACGAGTTCCGTCAGGCTGCGCATTAAAATCTACGGTCAAACACTCCTCGATTGATTGATTGACTGACACTTTACCTTTTACTGTATCATAGGCAATTAGCGCTCCATGAAATTGAGGTTTACGGAAATTAACGCGGGTTTAATGGAAAAAACGGACATTTCAATAAACGAAATTAAGGCGAAAGTAGGGTAAAATGAAGGAAATCAACGCGACGTTCACAAACAAACAAGACATGTTGAGACAACGGCAACAAAAGGGTCAAACGAAGATAGTTCAAGCAAATCAAAGAAAGCTGGTCACTTAAAGGGTTCTTCACAGTTTGACGGATACCGGGGGTTCTCCACCCTGATGAAATGCTCCCTTTCCCAGGTGTCAAGATGTCAGATGTGCATCGAAAATAATGGAAAATAAGGCGGAAGTTAACTTTTACTAAAAACTAAAGCGTCTTAAATTTCTCTTCACGAATTTTTGAAAGTCGCGTTATGTAATTTCATGAAGTGTTGATTTCCCTTATTAAGGTAATTTCCATGACCCTGAAAGGCAATTTTCTTCATACACCCCTTACATTTTTGACACGCACTTGACCAAAGCATTCTTTCATCGGATGGAGATCTGCAGACGCTCGAGAGGCCAGATTCATTCGCATAACCCTCTTCCTTGAGGGAAAGTACCACGAACATCGTTTGTATTTAGGATTTGACGCTCATTGATGTTGAAATAAATTTGTTCGTGTTGTTTCAACAGGTTTTGTTTCTTTGCGTAGGACGTGCTTCTTTTATTCATTGTGAAATGTTTCCCCCTCCCGTCCTGCTCGTTTACATCACGTCTCGGGATTTCAGTGGAAGACTGGTTCATGCGGAAGTTAAAGGACGGCGAAGAAAAACTACCAAAAAGTGTGTCGCACACGACGGTTGTTGTTTTGCTTGGGGACCAGTTGCTTTTTGTTATAATTTTCGAGGAGTGTACCGTATTACTGGGGCGGGTATCTGGTGGGACGGTGGGGAATACAATGGGAGTTAGGACCGGTGATGGACTCCTGTTTAAGGTCATGTCTGTGTACGTTATGACTGTTGACACGCATCCTGTACTTTGGTCATGTCTGTCTTCATGAATTAAGTTTCCTTATAGTGAGTATGCATGCACATTTGCACGGTTGATGCTTTTTAGGTGTTTTGCCTTGGTAGACAGCCAACAGTCTTCGGCCTGCGATATGTTTTTTTAAAGCAGTCAGCTCTTTCTAAGAGGGAGGACACCATTGAGCTTGGGTACTAAGTGTCCATGTTAGGCCGGGGCGTGTCTGCCTTGTAGAGAGTCAAAATGGAAACTAAAGAAAGACAAAGTCCAGCTCTAACTGTTGTTCTTCTTTTATAGGGTGTTAGTTAAGATAGAGAGAGTTGTCTGTAATCAATTTTGTCATGAATTTTGTAGGTAGTTTTCGGTATCCTCGTTCACGAGAATGACATAGTTGTTTCTAATATATAAGCAGTGAAGCTCAGGTAATAAGGCACAAGTCCATGCTTATCACCAGCTTGTATAGACTCGTCGGTCCGTAAAAGCACATCCTTTCTTTTCAACATGCAAACTAGTTGTTACTACTTGCTAGCATGGCTCAACTCAAGCGCGGATCTAGAATAAATGCTGACCGATTTCCTACTTCTAGGAAGGTCTGGGGCGTGCTCCCCCTGGAAATGTTTTGGTTTTTTACTCCCCAAAGTCCCAGTTTCCTGGGTTTCTGACTCATTCAGACAGGGTATTTACTGACTGTCCAAACCATTTTCCAGATTTCAACTTGGAAAGCTAAAAATATATTTATCAATAAAAATCGGACAGATTTCGTATGCCGTGATCCGCGCCTGCAACTGAAATAAACTGTTCTGAATATGATCATCGTCGATATATGGTCGATCTCAATCACTCTACAGTGATTTTACTTGAACCAGGAAACAGATACTGACAAATAGTCCAAAATAGCGGGAGGTAAACAAGAGAAGACAATCGAATTAGTGCCTAGTTCACGGTTCAAGTAAAATCACTCTGAAAGTATCGGAGGCGTCCAGACTCTGACTGTATAACTATCTTTTAGGAGAGTGAAATTAAATCTAACACTTTCTTCGGGAATAAGAAAATTAGCTTTGGTTTGTGCTGCTACAATAAGTTATGGCTTTATTTCAAATCTTCAAGGAGGTATTAATTTTAAAGAAATTATGGTATTTTGATTAGTGTGCCTTTTGAATTTGAAAATAGGTGTGGCCAAAAGAGTACTGACCTCCCTTAGTAGTCAAGTTGATATTAAGACATATCTTCTGTTCAAGAAAACGAAAACAAATAGATACATAAAAAAATGAATAAATAAATTATTCGATAAAATAACGAAAAGCATTGAACTGTTGAGAAATCTGATTACTTGGAATAAGATAGGTCACGTCTAAAAGCTACTACGCATTTTCCAAGTAATTACTTGCATCGGAAACTGTTGCATTTATTACTTTCATTTACCTTATTAGACTTTGGATTCCATTTATTAGTTCTAGTGACAGCATTATGGCTGAAATATAAAAGTGTTTCGTTTTGATTAAAAAAAAAAAATAGCGTTAGAACGTCTCGTCTCGTCGAAGAGCGGCTCAGCGGGTGAGTTCATTTTTCTATTGAGCATCATAACGTGATTAAATTTTAGGGTAAATTTTCGTGGTTTCCGTGCAGTGGCTACATTATCTGACGCGGAAAGAGTGAAATTTTAGCTTTATTTCAGTTGTCATATTTAATTTACAGCGATGCAGTGGAAAGTACTTTACAGAGCCCACTTTAGAATCATTTCAGTTTCGAAATCGCGTAAAATGTACGTGTCTTTCCTTTTGTTACTTCACAGTTGGACAATTTTTCCAAACGTCCTTTTTTTTTGCAGAGGAACTGAGAAAACATATTGAAATATGATATCAAATTCCGTTTTAATTTTTAAAGTACAAATTTGCACAGATGCATTAGCTAAATTTATGAGTACAGTTTATTTCGAAGTCGACTTAACTGATGCCATGGGGCCATCATTTCACTTTCATTAACATCGAAAATTTAAATAATTTTTCGGGGCTGTGCAGAAAGATTACTTGGCAACAATGAATTCTCGTCTTGTATGGGAGGCTCGGAAACCTGTTAAAATTTCGTATCCATTGCATCACTGATTTCTTTTTAATCAAAGAAATATATAAATATTAAATTCGCGCCACAATATTTGCCTGTGACAACTCGGGCTTTGTCTGGGTGGAAGGTAGTAGTCGACTGCATGCAAATGCGTTCGTAGTCAAACGTATTTTTTTTATTTTTTCAAATAAGCTGGTCGAGCGCCGTAAACATTGAACTTTATGTCTAAACACAGACACTACTTAATTCTGACAATGAATTGTCGAAAGTACAATTGATTTCTGTGTTCATTAGTGTCAGAGCTTGTTTGGCGCGTTTATTCGCGTTCCGCGCTCTGCCTTAACTTTACAAATGGGCTCTTAAGTTCTTGCCGCAGCACCTAATCTATCATTTGCTACATACTCATGCTTTTTTGATTAATTATCATTCCATGAAATCGAATGAGTCGGAAGACAAGTGAGTGAGTCCAAACTGATCTAACAACAAAGAAACGAAATCGTAAAATATTCATAAATGCGAAATACTAGTGCACTGACGTCACACGGTGATTTCTTGTCAATGGAAGCTCGGAAGCCATGTTGATTTGCCCGCCATTTTGATTGAACACAAATCGCGGGGAGGCAGTCGAGAGGCCATTTGCACGACAATCGGCCGATCCTGTTTACACCATGAGCGAGGCAAATTCCGTTGCCGCTTCTGAGAAGTCCGAAGATCTAGAAGAGGACTCTGTGTACATGCTATGCGGGCTTTGCAGGAAACCTCCTGTTGACACGAGTCCTAAACTTTTGCCTTGTCTTCACTCATTTTGTTTGAAATGCTTGGAGGAGCGTTTCGCTGAGCAACAGCAAGAAAAGGCTCCCTCGACAACGACAAGTTCTTCGTCAGTTTCGATCCCAAGGCTGAAATGTCCAACTTGTGGTCAGGAGTTTTTAGTTCCACCGAAAGGAGTAGCCGGTTTCCTGGATAATCAATTTGTGTTAGAAAACCTAGGAAAACTACAACGGAAACAGGAGAACGTAAAGCGTTTTTGTACTTCTTGTGAAGATAACAGTCCGGCTTCTTCTTTCTGTTTGAATTGCAGCGATTGGCTTTGTGACGCTTGTGTTTCTGCTCATCAGAGAGTACGCGTTACCAAAGACCATAAGATACAATCAGAAGCCCAGTATTTGGAAAATTCTGAGGCCGCAGACGCAAAGCCCATTTTCTGTAACATTCACCAACAAGAATCCTTAAAACTATTTTGCGCAAATTGTGAGAAACTAACTTGCCGAGATTGCCAGCTTCTTGAACATAAAGATCACAAGTATCAGTTCATCAAAGAAGCGGCCATTAGCTACAAAGACTACCTTCGAGGGCAGCTGAATCGTCTTTACGAACAGGCACAACCTTTAACAGAATCCATTAGAGAGGTAGAAAAAGCGGCGAAGGGCCTACAAGAACGGGAAGAAAGCATTGCTGCTGAAATCAGAAAATCCTCAGAAATGCTAGTCAAGGCAGTAAAACAGCGAGAAAATGTTTTGTTAACAGAGCTGAAGGCTGTAGTACATTTTAAACACAAACTTTTGTCGAAACAGAATAAAGACCTTAGACTGATGCAAAAGATTCTTCAACATAATTACGGTTTCACCAGGCATGTTCTAAAGAATGGTAGTGACATGGGGTTGTTATACAGCAAGCGGCAACTCAGTTCAAGGATTCAAAATCTGTTGAGTCTGAAGTACAATGTTCTTCCAGTTGCTCACAGTGATTTGAAATTTTCAGTTGAAACGGATAAACTCTGTTCTGTGATATCTAAACTTGGAAGTGTTATGACTCCTGCTGACAGAACTAGTACTAATTCAGCTAGACCTGAAGCAACATTTCGCAGCTTAAACAATGCAAGTAACTATACACCAATGCATAGTGGTATGGTCCCAACAGGTGCCTCTAACCGCTCAATGAGCTCAACTGCTCCTTTGCGACCTAATCCCATCGAAGCCTTGTCAGCTGTCAACAAGCGCCTTGGTCCACCAGGCAGTCAGTCGTATTCATCTGCTGTGAAATATCCAGGTTCTCTCCAAGCTGCTATTGTTCACCCTTCTGGTGCTAGTGTGACACTAAACAGCAAAATTGGTATTGTGCCAGCAAATAGTGTTTCACGATCGCCATTTTCTTCCAATCCCCGAAACCTTGCAATCAAAACAGGGAGTGGTATTGGCAACCTTACTCCTGTGCAGAGAAGTCCGCTTGTCAGTAACTCTGGCATGACACGTTTGTCACCCCCTCGTCCAGTTCGTAATGGTAACACTGTCCCGTTGCGACATTTCCAAGACATAGGAAGCAAAATTGTAAAGTCGCCACCACCCCGACCTTCAAGCAATGGTAGTAACAGTAGTCATCAAAGTCTGTCCCCTCTTGGTGAATCATCATCATCATCATCATCATCATCATCTCTTCCCAAACAGAATGGCTGGGAAGAACCTCCAAGCACTCCTGACTTGCCCAGTCAAGTTTTAAAAGGTATTTTAATCTTGCTTTGTTTCAACCATTCCTGTCATACGGGCCTTTGCCAAGCTTGTTTTCCTTTGCTGCTAAGTCCTTCAGGTGAAGTGTCATGACCTTCAAAAGTTTAGAATATCGGGTTTTATTTTTGTAGTTTTTCTAACAAAAATCCAGGCAGGAAAAAAAATTAAATGTGGAAGTAGTTGCTTAAAGAAGAAGGCATAAAAACTATACAACTGAAAAAAGAGAAGTTTTCAGTCAGAGGGCAAGAGAAGAGTTCTGGAAAAACCTAAGACACAAATTAACTTGGCATTCTAAGAAAGCACTGAACAATAAATCCTTTATATTATTTTTTAGTTACTCACACATGTGTAGAGGTTTTGTGCACAGACTCAATCTTTAGATCAACCTTACACAAAATAATAAATGGTACCACAAGAAAGTTATATATTTGGTAATTTTAATAACAGCTTGATTTGAATGATCACACTGATGTAAGTGTTATCATTCTTTAGAGCTCTGAAATAATACTTTCTAGTGTGCTATTTATATTTGGTGAAAACCCTGAGGATGGAAAAAATTTTCATTTTCAACTTGAAGAAGCCAATGGTGTAAATTTTTCTCTTACATCATCTCTTAAGTATTCCTGTTAAGACCTGTTCCTTTTGGTCAGCTGTAAGAAACAGGTCAATTTTTCTTCTCTGTTTGTTGACATACATAAATTTTTTAGCTAATGTCTGTTTCATGGCAAGATTCTTAAATATACTTGGTCTTAATTTTATAAGATACCCCTGCTCTAATCATTCCACATAATTTCATTAAATTATGGAGGCACATACATTCAAATCACAGATAAAATTGTGAGTTGTTCTTCCTTGGTTACTATTTAACAGCATATATGAAGTGTGTACTATACATCAAACCCCTTAGGCTGGAATTTACAAATGGCTCTCGTTTTTTAGAACTCTTAAGATTAATTTTGTAAAAAGGACTCTTAAAAATTTTCATCATTTTGAAAATTCAATCTGGGATTTTTTATTTAGACATGATGTGACTTTGGTAATGACAAAGCAATTTTTCCATAAAATAAATATATTTTTTCAAGTATTATTTTTCATTTTTTTAAAATTTGAAATGAAAAAAGCTTGACTTTTATTGCAGCATACACATGTACGTTCCTAAAAATAAACACAGCCAGTTCTCTTTTGTCACTATTGTTCTGGATGGTCTTGATTTTTCTCCAGTAGCATCTTTTTGTCAATTTCAAACATGATTAGTTTTGAATCAAACTGCACAGAGGAAAACTGTACATTATATGTTTACAGTTTTTCTCTGTGAAATACTAACAGAGGCAGGTGAAATAATAATTATTACAAGTATGTTTGATCATTTCCTTTCAATGGTGTCATTTTCTGGTAATTTTTGGTTTGTAGCAAATTTAAATGATGTTAATGTCTCTCTGATGTCTTTTTTAATGAAAGAATAGAGCTGTTCTATCACATTTTGATCTTTCTTTAGAGGTTTATTTTTAAAATTCACTGATTTCTGAGGAAAGACTGAGAAAAGTGAGTTTTTTATAACTCACTTTTTCCACTCGAAACTTCTAAACTCAAGTAATAAATTATGGCCCCCCTTTTCTCACCTAATCTTCAAAGTTTTTAAATTTAGTTCAATTTAAGTCAAAACATCGTTACGTTAGCTTATGGTTGTTCTTGAAGAAAGTAGAAAGCACAGTTTTGGAACAAAATATCATATTATCAAGATTGTTAAAAAATCTAAAACAACATTGAAGGTTGAGGCAAAACTAGCAAAGATTTAGTTGAAGGTTTCTTTTGCTTTTTGTGCCAAAGGCTTACTTTAAATTCAAATTTAGGGAAATTGTAAAATATTTTAAGTGGACATTAATCTTCATAGTCTGGTGAACTAAAATATGTCTTTTATAGTCTACTTACTGTGAGCTCAAAGGAGTTTTTACGGATTTAACAATTTCCTTCAAATGTTAGCTATGTGAAATTTGTATGCAAGATTCTTTCCTTTAGATGGCATTTAGTGGATGCTTCCATACAAACCCCATGTGCATCACTCCATTTTTGTTCCATCACTTGATAAAAATTAGTCTTTATTCATTTTAAATGCAGTTACAATTTGACAGTAATGATAAATTTGCAGTTGACTGTTTTCTTCTCCATCTTTTTTTCCTCTTCTCTTTTATTTGTTTTATTTTTGGAAGCATTGGGCCTTATCATTATCAATTCTCTCCTTTCTAAGAGTAGTTGTTAGAGGCAAATTGAACAAAAATTCCAAATATTCCTTTAAGTTCAAATGTACCAAAAATAGAAAGATAGAACATGGACTCCTGCCAAAGATGTTTATAATAAATAGTGACACTTCCTCTTACATGTACAATGTATGTATGTGTTTCATGACTAAGTATAGAAGTAAAAGGATCGTTTTTTGGCTTGCATTAGACCAATATATGTTCTTGTACAAGTAAGTTACAATATTGTTCTTTGTGTTTCCTGTTTTGCTGAATCAAAGTTAATGAACTGTCTTGGTCTTTGATAAGAATGGCTGTTGGCCAGATTTTAATGTGCCTTCCATCCAAGTCTTTGTTCCCTGACACAGCACAGATCTCTTGTTTTCGTATAGATGAAGCTAAACATTGAAAGATTTTTTTTTTGTTACTGTTGTCAACATACTTTAATCTGTTCCAGAACAACATACATGTACTTCTAAACAGGATTGAAAATACATGTATATGTTGCAGATAATTTTTTATTTCAGGTAATTTTTGTTTTTCCTTTGTTTCAATTCATTACCATACATTACCATATCCAAAAACAATGGCAAAATAAAAATTAGCTGAGATAAAAAATAAATTACAACATATATATCTATATAGATATAAAAAGAGAGAACATGAGTGATATGTCGTAATGAGTGGCATCTGTAATTTGGGTATTACATGTAGCCCATCCCAAGGCTGTGCTGTAAAGAAAATTGAAGGGAGCCCAGTGCTCTGAACTTGCGAAATCCAGTGTGCCCAGCATATGATTTCTATGAAAAAGCTAAGATTTTCTAGTCGCCCGAGAACAAAAAGTTAGGCCCCATGTGCCACCGGGCTCTGCTAGAGCTCAGCCTTGCATCCTTGTTTTAATCAAGCACAAATGGACAAATTATGTTCCCTTGTTGGTCTGCTGTGGTACCAATGAGCTGCTTTCTTATTTGACTGGTGTGCCTGTGATTATTGTACACAGTTTAAAAAATGTGAACAATAATTTCACAGCCTTTAAGCCTTTAAGCCCTAAGAGTGATCAGCAGAAAATTTCTCTTTGTAATATCAATGCTTTGTAAAACAGAGTGGTCATGAGAATTAGGGACATGATCACACAAGATGAATTTGCTTGATATTTTATCAATTTCCCCCCACTACTTCTGTAGAAATTGAATAGGGGCAACAAATGAGAATTCAACTTTTGATCTTAGGGTTTAAAGGGTTAACAGCATTTTTTATCATTTGCCCTTCTCTCCAGGTGCTACTTCACCTACTAGTACTGTAGATCCTGTCGTGCCGACCCCAAAAATACCCAAACTGCTTCCTGTGTTAAAGAGAAGCAATAGTACCCAGGAAACCACATCAGAGCCTGTGGTACCTCCAGCAATACCAAAACTACTTCCTGTGTTAAAGAGAAGTCATAGTTCCCAGGGAGTGACTGAACCTGTGGCTGCGTCACCACCACCAATAAAAGTAAAGCAAGAAAAACCTGAATCTCCAATGGATTTTTCGCCTTGTCAAGAGTCTATGCAGAAGGTGTGTGGGCAGTTGAATATGAAAAAAATTTTGCTTGTTTTTGTTTTTAACTGTCTAGCTCACCATATTGAGCATAGAATAAACTGTGGGTGCTCTGAGTGGCTAAATAAATGTTTTTATCAGAAGGAAAAGGGCAGAAAAGCATGGCTTTTATGACAAGAAGGCATCTTCCTAGGCCACATACTGTTCTCTGATTACATTCAGTTACGGAAGTCTTTCTACATGTATCTTGGCAGAGTGGAGGGATGTTTTTATGTTATGATAACTGGCCTCTCAGGCATGCAACGAACACACTGTCCGATAACTTGGGGCTAGTGGATTTTGCTATCGGGCTAGTAAATTCTGTTGTTAGCTTGCATGGCACGTAAGTGAGGTCTCTTGGGGAATTCAGATTACAGAAGAACTGTAATCAATCCTGCTCATCAAGAGTTTTTTAGGGCTAGGTGAAATGACTCTTAGGCTAGTACATTCTAGTTACAGCTTGCCCAACTGGAAAGCTGTAAAACTGGTTTTCTTTGCACCCTGCTCCTACTATTTATTCTTGACTATTATTTTATGAGGCCGAGTATCATCTGAAGAGTTATGGAGATTGAAGAGGATGTTAATTGGCCAGGGTGAACAACACCCTCCGAGATCTCCATAATTCTTCAGATGATATGAAAGTTGAATTCAATGTTATTGTTTTATTGTTCATTCAAAGTAATTTCGAGTTTAAAAACATGCTTACATCCATTGATGTTAAGTTCATTTTTGATAGTGCATGTTTATCGGCAAGTTTAGGAGATAAAGGGTTGTTCATTTCTGCTAATATTCTTTAAATGGCCGATGTCCTTTGTTAAGTTGTCTACTTGCTGTTCTTGCAATGTTTTTAGCCAATAGTTCCTTTTCTTCCAACTCATCCTCATCCCTAAGTCTTCTCAGTGAACTGTTCAGTTTTCTGGCGATTATGCTGCTCAGTTGAGGTCATTTTTCACATATTGCAAAATTTCGTCCAAATTTGGTCAACAGTACATAGTAGCTTGTTATTTATTTTCCCAATCTGAAATGGAGAAATATTTTGAAAGAGTAATAATGTGCATTATTGAATTTTGCGGATGATTTTTAGCAGCAACAAGAAGATGCCACAAGCGGTGAGAGTGGGATTGATGAGACAAGTTCAAATGATGACTGGTGTGCTGTGTGCCGTAATGGTGGAGAACTTTTATGCTGTGATACTTGTCCACGTGTTTTCCATTTGCAGTGCCATGTACCATCCCTTGCTAATCTTCCAAGGTAAATCTTGTGTCATTAGTGTACATTATGGCAGGGCTGATCTTTTTGTTAGGACAGTGAACATCAACTCAAAAGATCTGTTGACCAAAAAGTTGACACAATATAATGAAAGCCCAAGTTGAAGCTTATGGTCTTAAAAGTTATGAAAAGGCAGCCCTTTATTCTCTGTTTTGTAGTTATATGTTAAACCTATGTTTTGTTGAAAAAAATCTGGTATCAACCATGCTGCCTGTTCTTAAAAATTGGTTGAAAGCTGAAGGTGTAAGTTTTGGGGCAAGTTCATTTTTTAGTGAATTGTTCTGTTTAACACTAAGATTCTCGGCATTGAACTGTAGTCATTTTACTTCCATTAGTGACTCGTGGAGTTGTGGATTGTGCAGGGAGGTTGACTGGAATGCTTTAAGGCAGAGGGGTATGTCCAATTTAAATCTATTGTAATTTCATATCATTTTTGAGGCATTTTTTTACTTGCCAGGAAGTAAGGTTGAGAGTCTTTCGACCTTTTGCAAATAAAAAAGTGGAGTTGTAGGCAGAGTTGTTTAGCTTGACAGAATTGGAAACACAAGAATAAGAACTATTCTATTTTTTCCTAACTCCACTTATGACTCTGCTGCTAGTGAAAATCAGATAGTCAAAGATGAAAGCAGAAGCAGAAAATTTTTATTGTGACTCCAACAATTTGGGTTTGACTAGATCATTAGTGATGGAGGTACATTGTTTAGCAGAATTGGAATGCTATTTTCACTAAATCTTTGGTTCTGATTACAACACTGTGAAAACCAGCTTTTTGTGAGAATGTAGCTCTCCAGCAGTTCTTTTAAATTATCAAACTTTCTTTACAACACAGATCTGGAGGGGGTCTCCCCTGGAAATAAAAGACGCTCTTCTTGTAATGGTCTGACAGAATTTGAGAAAAAGGTAATTGAATTACTCTTTATCCAGTCCCTTTGATGAATTATTAATATTGTAAGCAGTTCTTTTCTCAGCTTATGTTTAACATTTTATTCATTTTTTTTTAAATAAGGTCTGTGAAAAAATTTTGCTGGAGCTGTTTTGTCATGCAGACAGTATTCCATTCCAACAGAAAGTTAGCAAATCAGTAAGTGAAAACATTATTTTTCAAAAACCAAGAATGACCAAGCGAGTGGCACAAGTTCCAGTTGTCGGGACATTTTCTCTCAAAGGATTAAAATTGTTTCATTTTAGTTTATGTGGCAATATAGGCAACTAAAGTGAGTAGTTATACATGTTATATTTGATGGATTGCCATTTTTTAGACTAATTTTCCTTTTGAGTATACACCTCTCATAAGATTATATTTTTTGCATCAAAGGTGACAGTCAACTCTGAGAGAGTTGACAGTAGAGTCGTTCTAACTGAAACCAATGATGCAGAGAGAGAGAGGGGGGGGATTATTAACTTTCTTCCCCTGAAATAAGGAGGCTTAATAGAGGGTTTACAATATCATGATCTTCTTTACATTATTTTATTTCTTTTCCTGCAGTTCCATTTATAAAATTCATATATTCATTATTTCAACCAAAGTCTTGTTCCAAAGTTTGCCAGTGAACCATTGTCTGTTTTTTAGGTTCCTAATTATTACAAAGTGATTACTCACCCTATGGATTTGTCAAATGTCCGTGCAAAGCTTCAAACACAGAACTTCGCACACTATCAAACCTTCCATGAGTTTGTTGGAGACTGTCGCCTGATCTTTGAGAACTGTGCAATATTTAATGAAGTAAGTACTACTTCTTTTAATAATAATTATTGTTGTCAAATGAACCCCTAGTCAATTTTTGTGAAATTTTAAAGAGATTATTCATTACAGCTGCAAAATTTACAGCTCTTATCAAGGAAGAGGAAGGGTATACATAAAACAGCTACATGTCGATCACTAACATTGTTGTTTCCAAAATAAAACATGCGGTGAAATTAGTCAAATATGTATTTGAGTTTGATAGTATGGCTCCTTTTCCATTAGACTAATGTAGTTCATTATTTTTTGGTTAGCTTTAAGGTTGACTTCAGTTTAAAGCAAAATATATAGTTTGTGTTTAGTTACATGTATTGTTTTTTAAAGTTACAGTACCTATCAATTACTGCAAGGACATTCCTCTTCCTTGACCCTTCCAAAGCCTTTTGTCACATCTTTTGACTCTTCTGGGCCACTGCAAAGGAACGTAAATGGACAAAAAAAATGATATAACATTATTTTGTCTTCAAAAAGGGCTGCACTCTAGCAGGGCCCAGGGGCCCCTGGTACCTAACTTTTGCTCCCAGGCAGTGTGAAAGTCTTATTTTCCTCATAAAAAATATAATGCTGGGCACCTTGATTTCACAAGTTCAGAGCACTGGGTATCATTAAAATTATTTTTTTCAGAGCATAGCCTTGACAAAAGCTTAACCAGGAAAAAACCTTGTACCACAATAATTTAAGCCATATTGAATTCTTTTCTACTTTTTTCAAGGGCTATATAGTAGTTATCTGTAATAACACCAAAGACAATTTCTTATGGGAGCTTGTGAAAATTGATTTTAAATTTCACAGGAATTGTGAAAACACATGTAAAATGGGTAAGATTTCATTTTGTGAAATTTGAAGCTTTTCTCAGGCTCCAATGAGAAATTTTCTTTGGTGTTATTACATATAACTAATTACATCTTTTTCCCTTGAAAAGTGTAAAAAAGAATGTAATGTGCTCAAATTATTTTGTACAACGATTTTGTCTGATAAAAAAAAAGTACTCAGTTTCCTGATGGATTCCGTCTTAATTTTCATGCATACCGATGAGATGTAAATGTTCCCCATGTCTATTTATTTTCCAAGAGCAAAAAGGGACTAGGAATTTGTTCAGTTTGTTTAACACTGTCTTGTACTGGAATGTTTCCCATAGGCAACTTCTGAAGTTGGCAAAATGGGCCACAATTTAGAAGTATACTTTGACGCCGTGCTGAAAAAGTACCTGCCAAATTATGTGGATCCATCTGGGGAACCCAAGCCAAAGAGGAGAAAAGATGAAGCAAGGCTGTATATACTGAATCAATGATATACACCTACCAGAAAATTTATTTTTTAATGATTAAATTATTATATGAAATTATTGAGGGCTGGTAATTGGGCAAATTAGCCCTGTTTAATAGTCACTTATCTCACTAGTTGTGTCAGGTCCTCAGTTCATGTGCTTGTTAAAAGAGAGAAAATATTGTTTTAGTAAAAATGACATTGCACATTATTTTCATGTGTGGTAGTGTGGGATATGTGCAGTCAAACCTCTTTTGAACACCTCTATTACCAACATTTCTATTGGTCTCAAAGAGGCCAAACTTTGAGGTGGCAAATGGTAATACCAAGATGAGCTAAGATGTTGAGGTCTTTCTCTGAGTGGTCAACACTTTGTAGACTGTTCACAGTCCCGTATTTTTCCTAAATTTTGTTGAGATCAAGCAACCAGGCAACCATCTTGGATGAGTGCCTAATCTACTTAGGGGTGGGGGATGGTTTGAGGCCTTCCTCTCCCACAGATATAAACTCCAATGCCTACCTCCTTGTTACATAATGGAAGCAAGATGGCCGCTCATACTAGCACTTGATCATGGTGATCGTACAAAAAAATAGGGGACTGTGAACAGTCTAAACACTTTCCAGCTAACTTGAAGACCTATTATAAACCCCTCAGAGATTTTGAGATTGAATCAACATTTTTCAAAGTTCCAGTTTTTTTGGGTACCATATCACAACCCCAACTTAACTTTTTAAACTCTTACATCGGTATGTGTAATCATTTAACAACCAAGACCTTTTTCACTAAATTTATTGATCATTTTCTTTAAGTTTGATTGAAAAGTGTTACCACAAGGAGAAATTAAATGTTGATCACTCTAGGTTAGGGGTCAAAGGGATTGCAGAGATGTCTGTAGCCTTTGGTGTCCAAGTTCAAGAGGTTTGACTGTATAATCATTGTACATAGTTTTGTGTTTACTGTCAGTAACTGATGTTTTGTTTAGTGGTTATTCATCCCTGATAAAATGTACTCTTTCAGTTTTAGTCCATAACTAAATACCGTAACTATGTAGTCTATGGTTATAATGCAGTATTTAGCTGCTAATTAAAAATACTGATTACTCATGTACATTGTACAACTGTAGCTACATGTTTGGCATAATTTATGTTCACTGATTCATCAAGTGGCCTATTAATATTGATGATGAACATTAATTTTTATTGTCCATTAAACGTGCCTGTTCTAGTCTTGAAGCAGACGTTGACATGGGTTATAACCTTGCAGACAAGCTACGATTACTGTAGGCAGTATGGGCTTAAAATGCAATGATCTCAACTCTCTTGTAAACTTAATGAAATTTAGTATTACATGTACTTTGACACTTTGCATTTTAAAAAACGTGTTGATAGGAATTAAACAGCATTGGAAATCCAATAATCCAATAGTGTGCCACAGGGATTGTGCCATTTTCTCATTGCTTTGTGTGACTCTGGCATTCAGCAGTTGATGCTTTTTAGTTTTGTCTTTTGTAAAGTTTACAACCATGATTGTCAGGACAAACTGTTTATGGTTGTCATACTCATCTATTCATCCATCAAATCATTATCTTTCGTCCATAAATTTTATAGGATACTCTGATTGAACATACTTTGTGCAGACTGTAAAATTTTGGATCCTAGTAAATGGGGCCACATAAATTAACAGGCCAATCAGATTATGGAATGTGTAACTTAACCTCTTATCATCATCATCATCATCTTCAGCATCAACATCATCATCATCATCATTATCATCCTTTGATTGCCTCTAAGGTCCATCGTATTCTTTGTTGCCACCAAGTCGTTTTCATTTCCCTCCAAAGTCCATTGAAGATGAGTCCAAAATTAATTATTATATCTGCTGTGATTTTATTAGGTTCCTCTACTCATCACTCATGCATAACCGGTATTGGTAATCTTAGTGGATTGTTCCATTGGTCGTGCTTACTGTGGCCATTTTGTTATGGGCTAACAACAATACTGTTATTATTTTTCCACAAAATCTCTAGTTACATGGTAACAAGATTGTGTACATAATAATTATAGTGAGTGTTAATTGAATAGGTTATTCTCACAGATGTATGAAGAAATCTTCAAATGAATATAATAATTGATCAACTTGAAAATAATATTATGGTCAAACCACATAGCACCATTTTTTTGTTTGTTTCCTCATGTAGAGATCTTTTACCTGTTGACTCACTCAACTTGTCATTGACCAGGTCTCCTCTAATTGTATTGGAAGTGTAGATGGTACCATATCCTGGCAGGTGGCCAAATAAATGATGTTCAGTGTAATAAAAATATTTAAGTTGTGATGTTGATCATATCATGTGACTTCAAATGATGAAGGGGGTGCTTACATGACACTGGCACGACTTTCATGCCGGAGTAGTTCACTCCAGTTCCCTCTCATGGCTCTATATTTGTTTACATGATACCACCACAAAATGTCATGCTGGCACGAGTCACCCCAGCATGAGTGTACCCCGGTTCTTGTACCGGGGCGAGAATGTCACTCTGGTACGAAATCTCACAGTGGTATTATGTAAATGCCAAACGACCACCCGTTTCAGTGTGAAATCGGTCTGCCAGTAGACTGGAATGGGTAGCACGTGTATTTTATCTTCATGAAGTGCACCTTTAAATAACGAGATATGAAATGACCCAGTCATCATGTAAAGGCGATATGAAATCAAAGTCATCCCGGTATGAAACTTGCACGGGTGCGAGTTTTCTCATGTAAACACCCTCTAAGGTTTTTTTTGTCTTTAGCTACAATAATTTATTTATGGGAGACCAGAATGTGAACCCATTTCCAATTTGCCCCAAACAAACAAACCTCCACTAAGTAATCATTCAGTGGCTAATTTGGTGACCTGGGTTTGGCAGTAACACAGCAAAGTCACAGTGTTTTTAGTATAATTATTGTTTGTGGCCTTCCTTGAGTTTAAGTGAGCTAAACATTGGCAAAATGTTACTAATTTGTGAGCTCTATTTTCTTCCTAAACATATGCCTCTTTTGCCCTGGTGTCCCCTCGAGATGTCTTGTGCACCTCCAAAAATTTGGTTGTAATAGTATGTCAGCAACATCTGCCCTGATTTTGAACAAAATTCTTATTGTGTTCATGCAAGAGCTTTTATTGTGGACAGCATTGTCGTTTGTTCTAGTTTCTCCTGTAGGGTGTTCACATCTAAAACAAACGTCCTAGCTAGCTTCGACCTTCACTTGTATTTTGTCACAAACATTTTATGCTGAACAGCTCACTATGTCAGAGCTAGACAGGGAGTGCTTGTGTTAGACTGACTGACCTCACTGTGTTCACTGAGCTTGAGATGTGTGTCAAATTTCATGTGGCCAAAATTGCCTATAGCTGGAGTTTTGCATCATGACCTTCAGTTCTCTCAAAGAACATATTCAAATGTCGTGGCTTTTTATCTTATGTTTGCACTTCATTTCGAAAAAAACACCTGGATTAAGGATAAGTCATGTACAAAACAGAGAGGGAAAAGGTAGTTTCTGTTAACAGTCAGATGCAACACTGTGTGCTTTTCAATTCCCTTTGTTTTCCAAAAATGAATGCTAAACAAGTAAACTTTTTAACACTGTATTTCTGCAAAACAGGGGGAAAATTAGAGAAAGGAAAAAATGGGGGGGAAATGTTCTTTGTTAGGTGTAGGTTGCATGCAAGTCTGGAAAAATATGTCATTGTAGCCCCAGCAAAATTTGACTCGAGTTTCACATAGGCCACTGGCCTTGATAGAATTGTCATTATGCACAATAATGTTAGTCTTTTCAGTTAATTCAGTTTCAGTTTCATCCTCTGCTATTGACTTAAAGATGAAATTAACTGTCAGGCAAATCATTCAAATGAAACTAATAGATATTTATTGTTAGAAATAAAGTCTTATTCATAAACCATTTGTTAATTTTTGTGAATGAAAACAATGGAGTCATGTAGCAGCTACTTGACCCCAAACAATACTAAAACAATAACTGGAAGAATGACATGTCATTGTTTCCTGTGACCAATTAGGAGAGACATTAAGAGCAGCTCCAACACTACACAAACAATGGGCATGTTTACTGTCAAACCCAGAAAACCATGAATGTGAAAAAATTTCAGGAATGTTTTGATTGTGTAGTGACCAACCACAATAAAGTTCATGACACGTGAGCAAACCTCAAAACCAGATAAAATGGTGCATTTTGAACCTGGTGAATAAATAAGAAAGATGTACACCACCAACTGAAAAAATTCTTTCTCATTTATTCACCAGGCTCAAAATTTACCATCCCATCTTTATCAAATAATCTCTTTAATCTGCCGAAACTCAGGAGCCATTATAACATTGGTTGATATGGCCAAGCAATAGACAACAATAACCGTAAGTAACCCAAAGATTTATACCAAAATAAAACAGAAGCAAGCAGAGCAACACCAAGTTGGCTTTTTCTTTCAACTTTAATTATTTGTACACAACTTTGCCTATGCAACCAGGACGCAGGCACCTCCAACCTCCTTAATCTTTTCCTCAGCCTTACGACTGAAAAACTTTGCCTTCACAATCACGGGCTGTTTAGGTAGAAGGCCTTTACCAAGAACTTTGTAATATCCCTGTAAAGAAAACAGTTTGTTACTATTTTAGAAGAATACATTACACAAACTACTGCAATTCTTAGCCTGAGTCTAAAGTGAGAGAGGGAGAGACAAGGAACCACCCGATTACCTCAGTTGGGAGGGCATAGGTCTGCCGAGTAGGAAGGCGGCGGTTCAAACCAACGCCAGAAAAAAATGGTGAGATCGTGCTGGCTTATGAATTGAGATCTTGTCTCAGTTAAAACGATCATGCCATAGGGCAGTGACGTTAAGCAGTTGACCTTGTCTCTTTCATCCTTCTTTCATTAGTCAAAATCAAAGGGGATATAAGAGAACCCACACTACTGTTCAAAAAGAGTAGTGGAAGTTCCCCGGTGGTGTGGTCTACCTTACACGCATCATTCCTATCATGGACTATGGGTGGGTTACAGTAAGCTCATAAATGGACTGATAGCAGCTGCCAGTGGCACCTTCTCCATACAGATCACTTTGTGCTTTCTTGTGAAACCAAAGGAGATTCTTTTAAGATCAAGCAGAGTTTACAAAGATTCTATGATGCAGAACTCAAAATTTTTCGAGCAATGTTCCAAAAAAGTTATTTTTTTCAGACTCCCACAGTGCAATGAAGATATGCACCTGTATGAGGGTTCTGAAATTCCTCATTTTGAAATTAAAATAATGTTCTGGGTACAGGTGTGATTAACCATGACTTGACTAACAAAAAAAATTACACTTCATGATTAAGCAGTAGTTGCAATTTTTTTTTAAATACTAATATCTACACCTTTTTCATAGTCACTTGGGGCCTACTTCATGCACCCCTTAAATTATTCTTCATTCTACAGAGTACTTGCCACCAAGAAATGAGTAGGGAAGGGATTAAACAAATAAAGGTAATTCAACAGAGCATACTTACAGCACGAACAACATCAATAACTGGGACTGGGCCATCAGTCTTGTCCTTGTAGTACTGCCTTGTCTGCTCACTGACAAGGGACCACAGCTTATCCAAGTTAACAGCTGGTTTGTGGTATTTATTCCTTGTTAAGTGAAAGTGTCGCATGCCTACTTTACCAAAGTAACCTGGATGGCTGTAATGCAAAAAAAGGGCTTACATTAATGCCTTTAAAAATCCACTTTACAGAAAAACCAATAGGCCTTTTGCATTAGTTGATCAAGTGATCAACTTTCGATAAACAAGAAAACAGTTCACTCTTGAAAAAATTTTGTTAGCACACGCTGAAAGTGCACATTCAAATTAGGTAACCTGTAAATTTCCAGTCGTATATCTCAAAAGTAGCAATTGTTATGGCTGCCGAAAATTAGAACTATTTCACCATATCATTTGTCTTACTGTATCAAGACCATGTTGTTTGTCACAATTTCAGCCCAACAGGGCACATGATATAGTGCCTTGACTTGAATGGGAAGAACTACATCAAAATGTACCCTGTGTCTACCAAGGAAATCTACTGCAATACAAACACTAACTCACTATTTATCAAAGTTAATCCTGTGGTGAAGCAGTCCTCCAGCATTACCACGACCTCCAGGATGTTTCCTGTGTTTCCCTGTAATCACACATTAACAAAAGTTAATTGGCTGCTTCACACAACAGAAGTTATAGTAAGATTTCTTTACAACCCCACACATCTATTACATATGCAGCAATCTTGTACTATTCTGCACAAATAGTTACTATCAACAGAGTTGAAACATGCATGCATATATAAATAAATGTATGGGGCAGAGCGGAAATCCCACAGGAGCTTTCAAAGCATGAATTTGATTGGGAAACTTTCCTATATTATATGAAGATCAATCACTCTGTATTCACTTAGTCTTTGGTTACATGTTGCAATTGTTTTTCATATGTGATTGAATATTATGTTTTCTTCTCTAATACCTACGTCGTTGTTCTCACAAGCTATAAGATAGCAAATCAGTTAAAAAGAGTATTGGATCAAATTAAGATCTGTACTCAACTAGAAAATTGCAAAACTTAAAATAAGTTCAACACCTTGGCCACATTGGGAACAGAAGTGGACACTGTAAAGAGGTGGCTGTTGTAAAGAGCTTTCTAAACAAGAGTCGAAGTATGGATCTTTTCATCAGCCCGGATGAAAAAAAGTGGCCATTGTAGAGAGGTGGCCGTTAGGGGAGGTTCAACTGTATATATCAGGGTTGGCCTGGCCGGGGGGGGGAGGGGGTAGTGGAATACCAAAATACCTGAATTAAACCTTCCAATATACCAAAAATTATACTAAAACTTGTGTAAAATACCAAAATTAAGAAAACACAGTATACTTTAGACCCAAAATTGGTCATGAGGGAATACTCTATACCCAATTTTAAGCATAAAAATACTGTATACCTGAAATTAAATAACCCAATATACTGCATACCCCAAAACCCTGGCCGACCCTGATATATGTAAGCTGACCAAATGAATTATGACAACCATCAAACAACTACAAAGGATTTTCTTAAATCACAGTTAAGCATTGCAATAGATTTCCACTCTTTGATACTAAAAGACCCTTCTGTTCAATCTAGGTTAACATTAGACTCACCGACTCGACCATGACCGTGACTCACATGGCCTCGCAGCTTTCGACACTTCTTCAGCCGCGCAGTCTAAAAATGAAGCAGCGAAAAAAAAGTTTATAACTTCTATTTGTCACAAAACGATGTTGACGTTTTCGATAAGTGGTAAACAAAGCTTTATTCTGTCTGAAAATTTTGACTAAATTTTAAAAGGTGATTACGATGGACGGGGATGAAATTCAGACAAAAATCTCTCCGTTTACCCACCATTTTGGAAAGCAAAGAGAGGAAGAAACAAAGTGCGCCTGTGCAAAAAATTCTCGTACCCAGATTGTTTCACAACCCTGATGATTCATCCCCAGTTCTCCCGAAGTCCTCGAACGCGTGATTAGGGATTTCACGTGATTTTCACATGTTTTTCTTCCCTACCCTACAGGTTAAGTTAACACGTTTAGGCGGAATGCTTTTAAAGCTAGGGAGGGGACGGTAGTAATACACGAGGCTTTCANTGATTCATCCCCAGTTCTCCCGAAGTCCTCGAACGCGTGATTAGGGATTTCACGTGATTTTCACATGTTTTTCTTCCCTACCCTACAGGTTAAGTTAACACGTTTAGGCGGAATGCTTTTAAAGCTAGGGAGGGGACGGTAGTAATACACGAGGCTTTCATCGGGACGCCACATGAGACCTGTAGACAGTCGGTGAGACAGGAAAGCGATCGGCCACGTTCTCTTTGGCGTTGTTTTTCAGATTTATGGCAAGCGTGTGCGATGAAATTCGCTCAGAATTCAAAACAAAAGCGCTTAAATGGTGCAGAAAGTACTTAGGAGGGAGCTGGAAAAATCTGTCTTTGGATGAGTTTTCCATTGAACGGTTAGGGTACGTATTTTTGCTACTACGCACACAAGCTAAGCCCCTGGCCGCCTTGGCTATTTATCCGTCATGCAGTTTTCTGTGTGCTTTCCAATGCTCTTACTACCATTTATTTATACCGTAACCTTATGAGCACTTTGCTATAAACAAATTGGGTGTGATTTGAAAAAGAGTTTGACATTGCGACATCCCTGACATTGGGGCGAGCATAAAAAAGCACCTGAAGAAATGGTGTGATTGATTATAATACCATCTATAAATGGCAAAGACATGTGTTCTTCACGTTCAAGTTACATATATTATTTCCTGTGGTAGGCAATTGTTTTATGTTCCAGGGGCATGAGTTTTTGAGGGTGCATTGAATGTTATTGTTGTAACGCATGGACTCTTATGAGATGAATATTTATGAGTGAGCTGGGTTTGCCGCCAAGGAAATCCCACGACGTTTTTAAATCTTTTGGACTTTGGGCTCTCCTATTAAAATTCCTCTCTCCTCTGAAAATCAGCGGTAAGAAATTAAAATCAGTATGGATGCTGCATAAACACATTATCTAAATATGCAGCTTAGATGCATGTATGGATGGCAAAATATTTTCTTTGTCATTTAACTATAAATTATTGAATAAGGCTGAGTATGAAGTGAAGAATTAAGTAGGTCTAGGAGAATAATTCTTATATTGGCCAAGGTAGATAACAGCCCATGAGATCTGCATAATTCTTTGCATAGTACGAGAGCCAAATTCAATACATGAATTTTTTACATGTATTTCTCAGTTCTCAACAACCCTCCCCATACCCTCACTTGAAGTACTGTCTTAATGTATCTTGCACTTGTAAATACGGAACCATACAGATATGTTTTCATGTCACGAAAGCAGTTAAAAGGTTTTAAGGTAAACCAGGACTTCTGTATTCTCTTTGCAGTGGCGGCCTCACCAATGAACTCTACATCTGCTCCCTGCCAAATTATTGTCCAGTAATAAATAAAGAAAAACGAAAAGTTCTTCTGCGCATTTATGGGCCACTCTACAGTGAACTTGTCAGCAGTTCCAGTGCACTGATCTACAATATTGTAATCTTCACCCTGTTGTCTGAGCGGGAAGTGGGCCCAAAGCTGTATGCAGTATTTCCTCGTGGCAGACTAGAAGAGCTTCTCCCAGTAAGTTTTTCCATATGATAAGCACAAACTTTAATAGACGCTTCCTACATTTTCTTTAACTTTTGGTAAAGACCAGTTAGTGATTATCCATTTACACTGCTGGAAAGAGCACTTTTATTAGGAAACTTCACAAGTTTAAGCTTGAAGGTGAGCAAAGCTTGAAGGCGAGCATAATTATTACCCCACAAAGCCGCAAAATTTTGCAGACTTGTGTATCATAGAGGGCACGAACTTGAATTTGACATCTTTGCGGAACTATGCTTTGTCTGTTTTCAACAAATTACATTCATACTTGGCATCTTTACCAACATTATTTTATGGTGTTCTTTTCAGCTGCATTAATGGATTTTACTAACTGGTCCAAGTCAAAGTTGATAATTCTTGAAGGGGCTAATTTATTGAAGTCTACTCTATTTTTCTTTTAAAGGGAAAATGCCTTGCGTCAAGTGAACTGGCTTGTCCCAAAATCTCTGTCAGGATTGCCCGAACACTGGCAGAGTATCATCATATGGAGCTTCCACTCTCCAAGGAGCCTGTGTTCATGTGGAAAATAATGTCTGGGTAAGAGCATGGTGTTAGTATGTGTAATCAAATGGTGACGAGTGTCCAAAAAGGCAAGGGAAATTTATTAGGATGTGGACAAAATGCCCATGAAATTATTCCCTAATTTCACGAGTATACCATTTGATTACTTATTAATATCATGGGTGATGAATTTTGTTAGCAGTCGTGAAGTTTTGACATGTTTACCCTGGATCACATCGTATCAAATGTTTAGACCTTAAATTTGGCTTGAGTTCAGAATTTTCAAAATTTCTTGACAAAATACCTGTTAGAATCCTTCTTGATGTGCTCTTTCGTGTGTTCAGGTTTTCTAAAGCTTTTTCACTGCATTTTAAAACTTTGTTGCCATCTTGACACTGAGACGTACAGGTGGTTGTCATGGCAATTGTGAAATTACAAAAAATTCTGAATTTTGGTTGTTCCAAACATTGGAATTCTGTATTTTGTTTTTCCAGACTTTGGAATTCTGTATCTTGGCTTTTCCAAACAGTAAAATCCTGGATTTTGGCTGTCCCAAACATTGGAATTCTGAATTGTGGCTTTTTCAAACATTGTAATTCTGGATTTTCTCATTTCCAAACACTGGAATTCTTGATTTTAGCATTTCCAAACAGTGTGAATTCTTGATTTTATTATTTTCAAACATAATTTGGACATTCTGAATTTTGACTTTTCCAAACACTGTCATTCTGAATTTTGTCATTTCAAACAGTGGAACTCTGAATTTTGGCTAATCCAGGCAAACATCGCAGTGGCAAATAAATTAATGAATGCGATTTCTGTTGATGCTGAAGTATAAACAGAATGCAGCAGGTTTAAAGCGAAACGTCTCCACTGAATTCAAGGAATATTGTAGATCCAACTCAGTGTTTAGGCTATGTTCCTGATCAGAAGGTCCAGACCAATAAAAATATTACCTCTTGTCAGTAGTCTCTTGTTAGTACAGTCAACTCTCTCTAAGACTGACACCTTTGGGACCGGCTTTAAGCGTCCGTCTCAGAGAGGTGTCCGTCTTATAGAGAGTCAAATAAAAGGAGTAAAGAAAGGCAGGGACCAACTCTAAGTGTCCGTTTTACAGAGGTGTCCGTCTTATGGAGGTGTCCGTCAAGAGAGAGTTGACTGTAGTTGCGAAATTGTAATGTTTTGCTTTTTGTTGGAATGCTAGTGTTACTGCTTGTTTCCAGTGACGGTTTTAACACTGCGGTTTCCTGCAGTTTCCGGGGTGGAAATTAAAATTAATAAGTGATCATTGCAAGCTCTCCCTTCTTTTCCCACCTCTTGTACTCGTGTCTCTTTTCACGTGAGTGCAACCCTCATGAGACTTCATGCGACTCTCCCAAATGGAGAGCTTGCTCATGGTCTATATGCAATCAGCGAACATTACCTGGAGGTCGACAGGCTTATCAAGCCTGAATAACAGATGGAACTAAACTTCTGGATAAGTCCATTTGTGAAACAGCGCTGAAATCCTTGTCTGAGCAACAACCTGTGTACCAGAATTTGAGTATGTGCCATGACTAACCTGTTCAAAATGCCATTGTCGATTTGCCAATCAAGTTGAAGGGAAATTAAAAATGCATTTCCAGTAATTTGCTGAGTCCGTTGTGGGGGGTGGGGAGGGGGCAAAACATGGATATCGACGCAGCATCAAAGATTTTACTAACCGGGGTTTGATACATTACGTCTGTGATGCAGGCTAGGCTTACCCTATGTGGTCAATGAAATTATTGCAGCCAAAGAGAGATTGAATTTATCTTTTTTGTTAGGTGGTGTAAAGAAGTTGAGGAACTGCATCTAAATGAACAGGATAAAGCTGTTACATTGGCTAAGATAAAAAGCATGAATTTGATGGATGAGTACTACTTTTTAAGGTACCAAAATTAATGATGCCCAAGTTATGAGTCACTCTTAACCCTTACACTTCCAGAAGTATCAAAAATTCAACAAATATCCAAATTTCAGTTTGTAAAATAAAGTAAAACAAATAGTATCTTGTGAAACTGCTGCCAAAGAGGCTCAAAGGGGAATGGTCACACCCCAGACTCAATTTGAACTATCTCAAAAGAATCCATCATTCACTCCCGATCATTAATAAAATTAATGTGCTGTTGAAAGAACTGTACTCAGACCAAGGCCTGGCTTCCGGAAGAGAGGCCAAGTGGTTAACACCTTGAACTCTGGATCTGGAGGTCTGTGGTTCAATCCTCGCCCATCACATTGTTCCCTTAGACAAGGAACTGTACCCAACTTCATCTCTCTTTACCCAGGTGTATAAATGGATACCAGTGACATACTGATGGGGGGTAACCCTGTGTTGGACTAGCATCCCATCCATGGGGGAGTAGTGATTCTGCTAGGCATGCTTCATGCTAAGGAAACTGGGATAAGCTCTCTGCTGTTTGGGCCTTTGGCCTGTGTGCGCCTTTACCTTTTTACCTTTTACTCCTTAGATGGGCAGCATTATTGTATGTAGCATGGTGCAGTTTGACAATTTTCTACAGGAGCTTTTGGTCTATTCATTGCAGCTTTTCTGCAGAACACAAACACATAATGGTAGAACTTAAAGGGCAATTTTCAGGAGAATGTAGTAGTTTATCAAAATTAACTTTGTGCTTGTTTCTACACGTTCCTTCCTTGGTTTCTTTTAGGAATTATTTGGAAACAGCAACCACACCAGGCCCAGTTACATTTTGCCATAATGACCTTCAAGAAGGTTTGTCTCTATATCTTTTCCATAATATTTTTGTGGGTGACAAGAGGAGCCCACAATCCTAACCTCCAGCTTATTATGCATGCGTCGCATGTATGTAGCCAGCATTCATTTGGACTTCCACTAAAAATGAATGGAATGCACAGAGTGCAATTTGATCACGCACATTTCAGACCACAAATAACTAAGATAGTACGTGTGCAAAAATATTTCAGTTCTCTGCGATAAAAAGTAGAATGTAGTTTACTTTTGAAATACAAATGGAATGGCCACTTTACCAGTGGTACTAACCTTAACGATCAACAAACTGATTAACCCATGCATTGCTCGATGAAATACTGGAAGTCTGAAATGTTCACAGCCCCCTATTTCTCCACAAGATCATCAAAATTGAGTGCTTTGCATTGCTGGCAGCCATCTTGGTTGAATGAGTGTCAAATCTACTTAGGGGGCTGGGGATGGTTTGGGAGGAGGCGTAAACCCTGATACCCACCCCTTCAGTACATATGAAACCAAGATGGCCACCCATACCGGTAAGTGCTCAATCCTGATGATCTTACGAAAAAATAGGGGACTGTGAACAGTCTATTGGAAGTCTAGTCTAACAAGATACAGTAAAAACCTGCTTATAAGAACGCAAGTTTTTCCAAGCTAGGCTAAGAAGGTTCTTATAAAAATAGTGCTAACTGCAAAATTAGGCCCGGTTCAAACGCAGCTCCACTCATGTGCTAAGTACGGCAAAAGAGCGGTTTCTGAATCAATTTGGTACAGCAGTTTTAGTTTGGTGCAGCAAAAGTGTTTGGTGCAACAAAAGTTTGACAGAGTCTGTCAAACTTTTGATGTCACGGCAGTGTCGCTCCAAAGTCAAACTTTTTCAGTTAGGTCTGGCACATGAAAAGTATGATGTCTGAACCAGGCCTTAGGCTAATCAGGTTCTTAAACAGGTTTTTTTTTTTTTTTTTTAATAAGGTGTTCGTCAATTTGGGCCCATTTTTTGTATTGCGTGCATAATATGTTATAAAAATCCCTTTAATCCAAGCATGTCAAAGCCATTTATGAAGGATATATAGATCTACATGTCAGTTGTCTCATTGCCAGGGTTTTATCTTCATTTTACTAACTGGTAGAGCTTGTTCTGTTAAATTTGTGTATTCAGTGTTTGATTGAATTTCTCAAAATAAGAACCTGTTGTAACATTGTAGGCTAAAACAGGTCCTTATTTAAAATGGGTCTAAATGGACAAACTTAGCCTAACAGGTTCTTAAAATCTAGGTTCATATGGGCAGGTTTTTACTGTATAGGTAACCAGTGGTATACAATTTAACTCACCACCAAGCTAATGGTACTGAATGATACTAGAACCATGCTTAGCTCAATTACTCACGAAATATAAGAATTCTTATCCAATTAGACACAGTTTAAACTAGTGGTATGCAAACCGACTCACCGTACAACCAATACCACTAGCTCACAAACTATTCACACCCCCTCCCCGACAAATCAATTCTATTTACGTCTTCGTTTATTCCTCCTACTGGGCGAAATACTTGCAAATATGATTTAGAGCATTGATCAATAATATTTTTACACAGGAAACATTTTGAGAATCTATTTGGTGACCTGGGTTTGGCAGTAACACAGCAAAGTCACAGTGTTTTTAGTATAATTATTGTTTGTGGCCTTCCTTGAGTTTAAGTGAGCTAAACATTGGCAAAATGTTACTAATTTGTGAGCTCTATTTTCTTCCTAAACATATGCCTCTTTTGCCCTGGTGTCCCCTCGAGATGTCTTGTGCACCTCCAAAAATTTGGTTGTAATAGTATGTCAGCAACATCTGCCCTGATTTTGAACAAAATTCTTATTGTGTTCATGCAAGAGCTTTTATTGTGGACAGCATTGTCGTTTGTTCTAGTTTCTCCTGTAGGGTGTTCACATCTAAAACAAACGTCCTAGCTAGCTTCGACCTTCACTTGTATTTTGTCACAAACATTTTATGCTGAACAGCTCACTATGTCAGAGCTAGACAGGGAGTGCTTGTGTTAGACTGACTGACCTCACTGTGTTCACTGAGCTTGAGATGTGTGTCAAATTTCATGTGGCCAAAATTGCCTATAGCTGGAGTTTTGCATCATGACCTTCAGTTCTCTCAAAGAACATATTCAAATGTCGTGGCTTTTTATCTTATGTTTGCACTTCATTTCGAAAAAAACACCTGGATTAAGGATAAGTCATGTACAAAACAGAGAGGGAAAAGGTAGTTTCTGTTAACAGTCAGATGCAACACTGTGTGCTTTTCAATTCCCTTTGTTTTCCAAAAATGAATGCTAAACAAGTAAACTTTTTAACACTGTATTTCTGCAAAACAGGGGGAAAATTAGAGAAAGGAAAAAATGGGGGGGAAATGTTCTTTGTTAGGTGTAGGTTGCATGCAAGTCTGGAAAAATATGTCATTGTAGCCCCAGCAAAATTTGACTCGAGTTTCACATAGGCCACTGGCCTTGATAGAATTGTCATTATGCACAATAATGTTAGTCTTTTCAGTTAATTCAGTTTCAGTTTCATCCTCTGCTATTGACTTAAAGATGAAATTAACTGTCAGGCAAATCATTCAAATGAAACTAATAGATATTTATTGTTAGAAATAAAGTCTTATTCACAAACCATTTGTTAATTTTTGTGAATGAAAACAATGGAGTCATGTAGCAGCTACTTGACCCCAAACAATACTAAAACAATAACTGGAAGAATGACATGTCATTGTTTCCTGTGACCAATTAGGAGAGACATTAAGAGCAGCTCCAACACTACACAAACAATGGGCATGTTTACTGTCAAACCCAGAAAACCATGAATGTGAAAAAATTTCAGGAATGTTTTGATTGTGTAGTGACCAACCACAATAAAGTTCATGACACGTGAGCAAACCTCAAAACCAGATAAAATGGTGCATTTTGAACCTGGTGAATAAATAAGAAAGATGTACACCACCAACTGAAAAAATTCTTTCTCATTTATTCACCAGGCTCAAAATTTACCATCCCATCTTTATCAAATAATCTCTTTAATCTGCCGAAACTCAGGAGCCATTATAACATTGGTTGATATGGCCAAGCAATAGACAACAATAACCGTAAGTAACCCAAAGATTTATACCAAAATAAAACAGAAGCAAGCAGAGCAACACCAAGTTGGCTTTTTCTTTCAACTTTAATTATTTGTACACAACTTTGCCTATGCAACCAGGACGCAGGCACCTCCAACCTCCTTAATCTTTTCCTCAGCCTTACGACTGAAAAACTTTGCCTTCACAATCACAGGCTGTTTAGGTAGAAGGCCTTTACCAAGAACTTTGTAATATCCCTGTAAAGAAAACAGTTTGTTACTATTTTAGAAGAAGACATTACACAAACTACTGCAATTCTTAGCCTGAGTCTAAAGTGAGAGAGGGAGAGACAAGGAACCGCCCGATTACCTCAGTTGGGAGGGCATAGGTCTGTCAAGTGGGAAGGCAGCGGTTCAAACCAATGCCAGAAAAAAATGGTGAGATCGTGCTGGCTTATGAATTGAGATCTTGTCTCAGTTAAAACGATCATGCCATAGGGCAGTGACGTTAAGCAGCTGACCTTGTCTCTTTCATCCTTCTTTCATTAGTCAAAATCAAAGGGGATGTAAGAGAACCCACACTACTGTTCAAAAAGAGTAGTGGAAGTTCCCCAGTGGTGTGGTCTACCTTACACACATCATTCATATCATGGACTATGGGTGGGTTACAGTAAGCTCATAAATGGACTGATAGCAGCTGCCAGTGGCACCTTCTCCATACAGATCACTTTGTGCTTTCTTGTGAAACCAAAGGAGATTCTTTTAAGATCAAGCAGAGTTTACAAAGATTCTATGATGCAGAACTCAAAATTTTTCGAGCAATGTTCCAAAAAAGGTATTTTTTCAGACTCCCACAGTGCAATGAAGATATGCACCTGTATGAGGGTTCTGAAATTCCTCATTTTGAAATTAAAATAATGTTCTGGGTACAGGTGTGATTAACCATGACTTGACTAACAAAAAAAATTACACTTCATGATTAAGCAGTAGTTGCAATTTTTTTTTAAATACTAATATCTACACCTTTTTCATAGTCACTTGGGACCTACTTCATGCACCCCTTAAATTATTCTTCATTCTACAGAGTACTTGCCACCAAGAAATGAGTAGGGAAGGGATTAAACAAATAAAGGTAATTCAACAGAGCATACTTACAGCACGAACAACATCAATAACTGGGACTGGGCCATCAGTCTTGTCCTTGTAGTACTGCCTTGTCTGCTCACTGACAAGGGACCACAGCTTATCCAAGTTAACAGCTGGTTTGTGGTATTTATTCCTTGTTAAGTGAAAGTGTCGCATGCCTACTTTACCAAAGTAACCTGGATGGCTGTAATGCAAAAAAAGGGCTTACATTAATGCCTTTAAAAATCCACTTTACAGAAAAACCAACAGGCCTTTTGCATTAGTTGATCAAGTGATCAACTTTTGATAAACATGAAAACAGTTCACTCTTGAAAAATTTTGTTAGCACACGCTGAAAGCGCACATTCAAATTAGGTAACCTGTAAATTTCCAGTCGTATATCTCAAAAGTAGCAATTGTTATGGCTGCCGAAAATTAGAACTACTTCACCATATCATTTGTCTTACTGTATCAAGACCATGTTGTTTGTCACAATTTCAGCCCAACAGGGCACATGATATAGTGCCTTGACTTGAATGGGAAGAACTACATCAAAATGTACCCTGTGTCTACCAAGGAAATCTACTGCAATACAAACACTAACTCACTATTTATCAAAGTTAATCCTGTGGTGAAGCAGTCCTCCAGCATTACCACGACCTCCAGGATGTTTCCTGTGTTTCCCTGTAATCACACATTAACAAAAGTTAATTGGCTGCTTCACACAACAGAAGTTATAGTAAGATTTCTTTACAACCCCACACATCTATTACATATGCAGCAATCTCGTACTATTCTGCACAAATAGTTACTATCAACAGAGTTGAAATATGCATGCATATATAAATAAATGTATGGGGCAGAGCGGAAATCCCACAGGAGCTTTCAAAGCATGAATTTGATTGGGAAACTTTCCTATATTATATGAAGATCAATCACTCTGTATTCACTTAGTCTTTGGTTACATGTTGCAATTGTTTTTCATATGTGATTGAATATTATGTTTTCTTCTCTAATACCTACGTCGTTGTTCTCACAAGCTATAAGATAGCAAATCAGTTAAAAAGAGTATTGGATCAAATTAAGATCTGTACTCAACTAGAAAATTGCAAAACTTAAAATAAGTTCAACACCTTGGCCACATTGGGAACAGAAGTGGACACTGTAAAGAGGTGGCTGTTGTAAAGAGCTTTCTAAACAAGAGTCGAAGAATGGATCTTTTCATCAGCCCGGATGAAAAAAAGTGGCCATTGTAGAGAGGTGGCCGTTAGGGGAGGTTCAACTGTATATATCAGGGTTGGCCTGGCGGGGGGGGGGGGGGGGTAGTGGAATACCAAAATACCTGAATTAAACCTTCCAATATACCAAAAATTATACTAAAACTTGTGTAAAATACCAAAATTAAGAAAACACAGTATACTTTAGACCCAAAATTGGTCATGAGGGAATACTCTATACCTAATTTTAAGCATAAAAATACTGTATACCTGAAATTAAATAACCCAATATACTGCATACCCCAAAACCCTGGCCGACCCTGATATATGTAAGCTGACCAAATGAATTATGACAACCATCAAACAACTACAAAGGATTTTCTTAAATCACAGTTAAGCATTGCAATAGATTTCCACTCTTTGATACTAAAAGACCCTTCTGTTCAATCTAGGTTAACATTAGACTCACCGACTCGACCATGACCGTGACTCACATGGCCTCGCAGCTTTCGACACTTCTTCAGCCGCGCAGTCTAAAAATGAAGCAGCGAAAAAAAAGTTTATAACTTCTATTTGTCACAAAACGATGTTGACGTTTTCGATAAGTGGTAAACAAAGCTTTATTCTGTCTGAAAATTTTGACTAAATTTTAAAAGGTGATTACGATGGACGGGGATGAAATTCAGACAAAAATCTCTCCGTTTACCCACCATTTTGGAAAGCAAAGAGAGGAAGAAACAAAGTGCGCCTGTGCAAAAAATTCTCGTACCCAGATTGTTTCACAACCCTGATGATTCATCCCCAGTTCTCCCGAAGTCCTCGAACGCGTGATTAGGGATTTCACGTGATTTTCACATGTTTTTCTTCCCTACCCTACAGGTTAAGTTAACACGTTTAGGCGGAATGCTTTTAAAGCTAGGGAGGGGACGGTAGTAATACACGAGGCTTTCACCACGACGCCACATGAGACCTGTAGACAGCCGATGAGGCAGGGAAAGCGATCGGCGGCGCTTTTTTGGCGTTGATTTTCAGATTTATGGCAAGCGTGTGCGATGAAATTCGCTCAGAATTCAAAACAAAGGCGCTTAAATGGTGCAGAAAGTACTTAGGAGGGAGCTGGAAAAATCTGTCTTTGGATGAGTTTTCCATTGAACGGTTAGGGTACGTATTTTTGTTACAACGCACCACACAAGCTAAGCCCGTGGCCGCCTTGACTCCGTCATGCAGTTTTCCCTGTCCTTTCCAATGCTCTTACTACCATTTATTTACAACGTAAACTTATGAGCACTTTGCTATAAACGAATTTGGTATGATTTGCCAAAGAGTTTCACATTGCGACATCCTAGACATTGGTGCGAGCATAAAAAAGCAGCTGAAGGAATTATAATACCATCTATAAATGGCAAAGACATGTGTTCTTCACGTTCAAGTTACATATATTATTTCCTGTGGTAGGCAATTGTTTTAATGTTCAGAGGGCATGAGTTTTTGAGGGTGCATTGAATGTTATTGTTGTAACGCATGGACACTTATGAGATGAATATTTATGAGTCCGCTGGGTTCGCCGCCAAGAAAATCCCAGGAGATTTTTAAATCTTTTGGACTTTGGGCTCTCCTATTAAAATTCCTCTCTTCTCTGAAAATCAGCAGTAGGGAATTAAAATCAGTATGAATGCTGTATAGACACATTATCTAAATATGCAGCTTAGATGCATGTATGGATGGTGAAATATTTTCCTTGTCTTTTAACCATAAATTATTGAAATGAGGCTGAGTATGAAGTGAAGAATTAAGCAGGTCAAGGAGAATTATATTGGCCAAGGTAGATAACAGCCTATGAGATCTGCATGATTCTTTGCATGGTACGAAAGCCAAATTCAATACATGAATTTTTTACATGTATTTCTCAGTTCTCAACAACCCTCTCCATACCCTCACATGAAGTGCTGTCTTGTATCTTGCACTTGTAAATATAGAACCATACATATATCTACCATGCCAAGAAAGCAGTTTAAAGGTTTTAAGGTAAACCAGGACTTCTGTATTCTCTTTTTGCAGTGGCGGCCTCACCAATGAACTCTACATCTGCTCCCTGCCAAATTACTGTCCAGTAATAAATAAAGAAAAACGAAAAGTTCTTCTACGCATTTATGGGCCACTCTACAGTGAACTTGTCAGCAGTTCCAGTGCACTCATCTACAATATTGTAATCTTTACCCTGTTGTCTGAGCGGGAAGTGGGCCCAAAGCTGTATGCAGTATTTCCTCGTGGCAGACTAGAAGAGCTTCTCCCAGTATGTTTTTGCATATGACAAACACAAACTTTAATAGACACTTCCTAGATTTTCTTTAAGTTATGATAAAGAACAGTTAGCGATTATCCATTTACACTGCTGGAATCAATCAATCAATCAATAATCTTTATTTATACACGATAAGTATTTAAAGCAACGCTTCCCTTGTGGGGTTGTGTGTAAATAAGTAAATAAGATAACTAATGAATTCGAAAATAAATAGGATATACACCAGCTAAAATCATATAGCTACTTACTACTTTCAAGTCTAAAACGATAAAAGCTTAAAATTCTAAAGTACAAGGTGGTACTCTAGTATCAACTAATTATTAACACTAATTCAATTCATTTAAGCTTAAAGGCGAGCAAAGATTAATAATTATTGCCCCACAAAGCCGCAAAATTTTGCAGACTTGTGTATCATAGAGGGCATGAACTTGAATTTGACAACTTTGCGAGCTACGTTTTGTTTGTTTTCAACGAATCACATTCAAACTTCTTTAAGCGTCTTTAATGAGGTTAAATAAATATTTATTTAACAGAGTTAACAACAAGGAGTGCGAACGTGGTCAGCGGTCGGTCGTTTGGCTCAAGCGCAGTCAGCCTTGCTTGCATCACCTCCATGTGCTCAGTACAGTGTTTTCGTGGCGGCCATTCTCTTCGTTTAGACTTTGGATCATTCTTTTACCGTCAGCGACGCAGTTGTTAACTAACATTCTAATATTTTTACCTAGGGTGTTCTTTTCAGCTGTGTTGATGGATTTTTACTAACTGGTCCAAGTCAAAGTTGATAATTCTTGAAGGGGCTTATTCGAGTCTACTCTACTTTTCTTTTAAAGGGAAAATGCCTTGCATCAAGTGAACTGGCTTGTCCCAAAATCTCTGTCAGGATTGCCCGAACACTGGCAGAATATCATCATATGGAGCTTCCACTCTCCAAGGAGCCTGTGTTCATGTGGAAAATAATGTCTGGGTAAGAGCATAGTGTTAGTATGTGTAATCAAATGGTGACGAGTGTCCAAAAAGGCAAGGGAAAGTTATTAGGATTTGGACAAAACGCCTGTGAAATTGTTCTTAATTTCACGAGTATACCATTTGATTACTTATTAATATCATGGGTGATGAATTTCGTTAGCAGTTGTGAAGTTTTGACATGTTTACCCTGGATTGCATCGTATTAAATGTTTAGACCTTAAATTTGGCTTGAGTTCAGAATTTTCAAAATTTCTTGACAAAATACCTGTTAGAATCCTTCTTGATGTGCTCTTTTGTGTGTTCAGGTTTTCTAAACCTTTTTCACTGCATTTTAAAACTTCATTGCCATCTTGACACTGAGACGTACAGGAGGTTGTCATGGCAATTTTTGTAATTTCACATGTGAAATTACAAAAATTCTGAATTTTGGTTCTTCCAAATATTGGAATTTTGTATTTTGTTTTTCCAGACTTTGGAATTCTGTATCTTGGCTTTTCCACACAGTAAAATCCTGGATTTTGGCAATTTTCCCAAACATTGGAATTCTGAATTGTGGCTTTTTCAAACATTGTAATTCTGGATTTTCTCATTTCCAAACACTGGAATTCTTGATTTTAGCATTTCCAAACAGTGTGAATTCTTGATTTTATTATTTTCAAACATAATTTGGACATTCTGAATTTTGACTTTTCCAAACACTGTCATTCTGAATTTTGTCATTTCCAACAGTGGAACTCTGAATTTTGGCTTTTCCAGGCAAACATCGCAGTGACAAATAAATTAATGAATGCGATTTCTGTTGATGCTGAAGTATAAACAGAGTGCAGCAGTTTTAAAGCGAAACGTCTCAACTGAATTCAAGGAATATTGTAGATCCAACTCAGTGTTTAGGCTATGTTCCTGATTAGAAGGTCCAGACGAATAAAAATATTATCTCTTGTCAGTAGTCTCTCGTTAGTACAGTCAACTCTCTCTAAGACGGACACCTTTGGGACCGGCACTAAGTGTCCGTCTTAGAGAGGTGCCCATCTTATAGAGAGTCAAATAAAAAGAGTAAAGAAAGGCAGGGACCAACTCTAAGTGTCCGTCTTATGGAGGTGTCCGTTAAGAGAGAGTTGACTGTAGTCGCGAAATTGTAATGTTTTGCTTTTTGTTGGAATGCTAGGATAACTGCTTGTTTCCAGTGCTGGTTTTAACACTTTGCAGTTTCCTGCAGTTTCCGGGGTGGAAATGAAAATTTATAAGTGATCGTTGCAAGCTCTCCTTTCTTTTCTCACCTCTTGTACTCGTGTCTCTTTTCACGTGAGTGCGACCCTCATGAGACTTCATGTGACTTTCCCAAATGGAGAGCTTGCTCATGGGCTTTATGCAATCAGCAAACATTGCCTGTTGGTCGACAGGCTTACCAAGCCTGTGTAACAGATGGAACTAAACTTCTGGATAAGTCCATTTGTGAAACAGCGCTGAAATCCTTGTCTGAGCAACAACCTGTGTACCAGAATTTGAGTATCTGGCATGACTGGCCTGTTAAAAATGCCATTGTCAATTTGCCAATCAGGTTGAAGGGAAATTAATGCATTTTGAAATGCATTTCCAGTAATTTGCTGAGTCCGTTGGGGGGGGGTGAGGGGTGGGGAGGGGGAAGAACATGGATATTGACGCTGCGTCAGAGATGTTACTAACCGGGGTTTAATACATTACGTCTGTGACGCAGGCTAGGCTTACCCTATGTGGTCAATGAAATTATTACAGCTAAAGAGAGATTGAATTTATCTTTTTTGGTAGGTGGTGTAAAGAAGTTGAGGAACTGCATCTAAATGAACAGGATAAAGCTGTTACATTGGCTAAGATAAAAAGCATGAATTTAATGGATGAGTACTACTTTTTAAGGTACCAAAATTAATGATGCCCAAGTTATGAGTCACACTTAACTGTTACACTTCCAGAAGTATCAAAAATTCAACAAAATATCCAAATTTCAGTTTCTAAAATACAGTAAAACAACTAGTACCATATGAAACGGCTGTCAAAGAGGTTCAAAGGGGAATAGTCACACCCCAGACTCAATTTGAGCTATCTCAAAAGAATCCATCATTCACTCCCGGTCATTAATAAAATTAATGTGCTGTTGAAAGAACTGTACCTTGCCATTCAACTGCCTCTGCATGTGTGGCCAAGTGGTTAACACCTTGAACTCTGGATCTGGACAAAAAACTTAACCTAACTTTATCTCTCTTTACCCAGGTGTATAAATGGGTACCAGTGACATACCTCTGGGGGGTAACCCTGCGATGGACTAGCATCCCATCCATGGAGTAGTAGTGATACTGCTAGTCATGCTTCATGCTAAGGAAACCGGGATAAGCTCTTGCTGTTTGGGCCTTTGGCTTGTTTGCGCCTTTACCTTTTTACTTTTTTACTCCTTAGATGGGCAGCATTATTGTATGTAGCATAGTGCAGTTTGACAATTTTCTACAGGAGCTTTTGGTCTATTCATTGCAGCTTTCCTGCAGAAGACAAACACATAATGGTAGAACTTAAAGGGCAATTTTCAGGAGAATCTAGTAGTTTATTGAAATTAACTTGGTGCTTGTTTCTATATGTTCCTTCCTTGGTTTCTTTCAGGAATTATTTGGAAAAAGCAACCACACCAGGCCCAGTTACATTTTGCCATAATGACCTTCAAGAAGGTTTGTCACTATATCTTTTCCATAACATTTTTGTGGGTGGCAAGAGGAGCCCGCAATCCTAATCTCCAGCTTATTAGGCATGCGTCACATGTATGTAGCCAGCATTCATTTGGACTTCCACTAAAAATGAATGGAATGCACAGAGCGCAATTTGATCATGCACATTTCAAACCGCAAATAACTAAGATAGTATGCACGCAAAGATATTTCAGTTCTCTTCAATAAAAAGTAGAATGTAGTTTACTTTTGAAATACAAATAGAATGGCCACTTTCCAATGGTACTAACCTTAACGATCAACAAACTGATTAACTCATGCATAGCTCAATGAAATACTGGAAGTCTAGACTGTTTACAGTCCCCTATTTCTCCACAAGATCATCAAAATTGAGTGCGTTGCATTGCTGGCAGCCATCTTGGTTGGGTGAGTGTCAAATCTACTTAGGGGGCTGGGGACAGTTTGGGAGGAGGCGTAAACCCTGATACCCACCCCTTCAGTACATATGAAACCAAGATGGCCACCCATACCAGTAAGTGCTCAATCCTGATGATCTTACAAAGAAATAGGGGACTGGACTGTGAACAGTCTATTGGAAGTCTAGTCTAACAAGGTAAAGAAAAAACCTGCATATAAGAACGTAAGTTTTTCCAAGCTAGGCTAAGAAGGTTCTTATAAAAATGGTGCTAACTGGAAAATTAGGCCCGGTTCAAACGCCCCTCCACTCATGTGCTAAGTACAGCAAAAGAGCGGTTTCTGAATCAATTTGGTACAGCAGTTTTAGTTTGGTGCAGCAAAAGTGTTTGGTGCAACAAAAGTTTGACAGAGTCTGTCAAACTTTTGATGTCACAGCAGTGTCGCTCCAAAGTCAAACTTTTTCAGTTAGGTCTGGCACATGAAAAGTATGATGTCTGAACCAGGCCTTAGGCTAATCAGGTTCTTAAACAGGTTTTTTTTTTTTTTTAAATAAGGTGTTCGTCAATTTGGGCCCATTTTTTGTATTGCGTGCATAATATGTTATAAAAATCCCTTTAATCCAAGCATGTCAAAGCCATTTATGAAGGATATATAGATCTACATGTCAATTGTCTCATTGCCAGGGTTTTATCTTCATTTTACTAACTGGTAGAGCTTGTTCTGTTAAATTTGTGTATTCAGTGTTTGACTGAATTTCTCAAAATAAGAACCTGTTGTAACATTGTAGGCTAAAACAGGTCCTTATTTAAAATGGGTCTAAATGGACAAACTAAGCCTAACAGGTTCTTAAAATCTAGGTTCATATGGGCAGGTTTTTACTGTATAGGTAACCAGTGGTATACAATTTAACTCACCACCAAGCTAATGGTACTGAATGATACTAGAACCATGCTTAGCTCGATTACTCACGAAATATAATAATTCTTATCCAATTAGACACAGTTTAAACTAGTGGTATGCAAACCGACTCACCGTACAACCAATACCACTAGCTCACAAACTGTTCACACCCCCTCCCCGACAAATCAATTCTATTTACGTCTTCGTTTATTCCTCCTACTGGGCGAAATACTTGCAAATATGATTTAGAGCATTGATCAATAATATTTTTACACAGGAAACATTTTGAGAATCCCAAAAGATGGGCAGGCGAACAATGAGGAAGATGTGGATATTATGTTCATTGACTTTGAATATAGTGCCTACAACTATAGGTAACTACACCATAATTAATGTGCAGGATATTGAAGGAATAACTTCTTTATTGAGATAACCATTCATTAAGCCTGGTTTTCACTAGCGCAAAAGCGTAAGCATGAGGACATACACACACGCAGAATGGCATATTTGACTCAATTCCAATACCTGCTCTCCTCAACCCGATGATAGAGAAGATGGTGGACACACCGTCGGCCATATTGCTTTTGATATGTTTGCATGAGGTCTGGGTCAAAGACAAGTGACCTACGATTGGTCCACGGCCTTGTGCTTATGCTTGTGCTTATGTCGACCCAGTTTTCACTAGTCAAAGCTACAACATAAGCACAAGCACAAGTGCAAGAAGAACGAACTTGTCCGTTTTTCTTGTGCTTGTGCTTATGCTTATGTCGACCCAGTTTTCACTTGCTTACACATGTGCTTGTGCTTATGCTTATGCTTATGTTTATGCGTTAGTGAAAACCAGGCTTTAGTATCGTACACACTCATTTTTGAAATGTTATTTCTCATGAAAAGATAGTGAACCCTCAAAGTAGCTGTGGGCCCAGTTGTGTGAAGGTCGATTGGCACTAATTGGCATTTAATGGGAACCCCTAATTGACAAGAAGTTTGTTTACCAACAATATCAAGTCAAATAGTAAAATTACGCTGGAAATTAGACTTGCATTTTTTTGTACTTTTGTAGTAGGACTGTAAGGTCCTGTAATTCAATTTGTAAGGTATTGTATTTTTTTAGTTTATATAATGGCAATTTTTGTTGTGTAAGTGTTGTTAGAGATTGAAGTGAAATTTTAAAAAAAGTCCTTGACTGATTTCTCAACATTCACCCACTCTTTTTTACTGCTATTCTTCATTCCAGGGCTTTTGACCTGGCAAATCATTTCTGTGAATGGATGTCCGATTACAGTGTTCCTGCTCCTTCATATTTTTCCTTGTCACTGAGCAAATATCCCAGTAAAGAGCAACAAGTGAGTCATGACTCAGATTCCAATAATGTAGCCAGTAGGAGTTGCAGTATTTGTGTGACAGAGGCCAGTGTCAATACCTTCCCACTATGAACACTAAATACAGAAATGCATTATAAACACTAGTATTAAAAAGTCACCAGCATCAGTTGACTCCTAACAATAACAGCACGTAATCAAGAGAAAGTGTTATGAGAATTATGAAAATGATCATTGAATGGACACTCTTTGATCTTTTACCAAATGATTTTGACTAAAACTGTGAAAGGTTTGAACCCAGGAGTCATTTCATAAGTAAGTTGAGTATGATCGTCCAGGTGAACGTAGTCCTGAATAGGACTGTTGTTGTTGACAGTGACTGACGTTTCAACAACCTGTGCGGTAGTCATCTTCAGACTCAAAGTGAGCGGTATCATGTCCGTTGATGGTATTATACTCTGGTTATTGATCTAGATTGGAAGTATGTCACCTTTTCGAAATTCTAGTTCTAGCAGTTTGTGGTTTTGTCCATAAACCCAGTACCCTGGGTGCCAGAGGCTTTTCATGCGCGGTCTCCGGTTTCGGTCAAGTCTTAAAAAGTGACCCCCGCTTCGCCGCTCGTGTCTTCGGCCTTCGGCCGAACACGTGTCGGCCCGCGGCCGACGAAACGAAGCTCCCCGTCGCACGCGAGAAAAAACCTCTGGTAACCAGGGTATAAACCTAGTAAACAGACTAGTGTCCAGACCCTGAGAGAAAAAGGTTGGCAGAACTCAGATTTTCGTCTCGCCTGAGGAATTGTGTCACCCAATGAAAATACGTCATTCTCATTATTAAGTTTGTTTTACTGACAGCTGCTGTTTGTTCGGGCTTACTTGGGAAGGAATACACCCATTAATGGAACAATTTGTGCACCAACGATAGAGGAAACGGAGTTATTGGATCAAATCGACAGGTAATGCTTTAAACGCGACACCACCACAAGTTTCCCCAGGAAACGAGCGAAGAATTCCATACTGGTGACGTGTCACTACCTAGATGTGGGTAGTGAATCTCATTGGTTAAAAATTTGCTTTAACCAATCAGAAGCACTACCAAGATCTGGATAATGACGCGTCGTCAGTATGGTGTTTCTACGCTCGTTCCTCAAACTTCATTTCCTTGGGAAACCAGTGGTGGCTTGCCGAGATGTCGGCTGTTTTCTCAGGCGTTTTCAAACACTCTTTCATCTGTCTTGCATTTGCAGTTTTCCTCCACGGTAGGGGGGGGGGGGATTCTAACACTAATACAGTACAGTATTGGCCGTTTTCTCTGAAGAGATGGATCATCTGTCTCAGAACCTCTATCTGTCGGAAAATCGTCGTCGTGTGAAAACGAGTGGGTGGTTATTTCGACGAGTAATCCTTCTAATTTTATGCGTCTGGTTAATTCGTTTGATTGGACGGATTTTGTTTCAGGTAGATTATCCTTTGCGGGGGATAATCCATCTCTAGTGTAAACATGGTCATAATGAAATTTGGTAGCCTTGAATTTTGTCAAACTGTTGTCTTGATCGTGTGCGAGACCCTGCATCTTAGTGGCTCTTTAAAAGAACGTTAGTAGTTTTAAGGAAATAAAACTGTGTTGAAATAAGCATACAATCGAATCTCCGATAACGGATACCTCTCGTGGACAGACAACTTCCATACGCGTCATGCACGTGCAGGGACATATAATCGCAACTCCTATTTTAATCTCTCTTAAGCTGACACTTCTGCTTGTCCTGGGGTTGTGGTTTATACACTTGCAGTAGGTTTGTACAGTACCGCAAATGATCCCGGACCCCATATTTCCGTATACCTCGACGTTTAAACAAAAGACGAGTTTCCTGCTTAACGTCCTTCCAGTACACAGAAACGAAACATCAATGCTTGAAAGAAAGGAGAACAAATTGCTAAAAGAAGCAATACGGTTATTTATCGTTTTATTCATTTCATTGTCTTACGCGTCAGCACTATTCACTATTCATCTATGCTTGAAGTCCATTGCATTCCTCTACTTTTCAAGGGATCATTTTCGGTCGACTGTGGGGATCATTTGCGGTCGATAGTGGGAATCATTTGCGGTCGACACTGGGGATCATTTGCGGCCCATTTCAGATTTTGGGATCTTTTGCGGTTCTGTACAAGTTCGAATTAACTTTGTCGCCTATGGGGCAGACCATTGGAAAAGTTATGGCGGTGATGGTGAATTTTCATGAACATTTCCCTTATTTCTTTAGTTCCTTTTCCTTTTCCTTTTTTGTACTTCGCCTACCCCTCCCCCATGACTTTTTTAACGGTCCGTCCCTAACTGGTCCTGAAAACTTTGCCGGCCGGGTATTGAAGCCAGTAGTAAACGGAAAAATAGTTGAATGTATTGTAGTGAAGGTTGTTTTTTATTACTATTATTATCAATTATTTTTTAAAAAATAGATTGAAAATGAAACAAAAGAAAAACAACTAATAATTTCAATACATACACTGTATACTAGGACACTATTTTATATTTTCACCATTGGCTGAGAAATAGAAATAAATTTTAAAAAATGATTTAAAAAAATAACTAAAAAGGAAAAAAATGAAGGTTCTTGAAAACCACAAAGTGGCTCTTTGATAAAAACAGAAAAATCGGTGAGGACGCTTAAAACACAAAACCTTAATTCGAGAACACGCTCGTCAATGTGTACAGTAATGTACGCTACTGAAAGACTTGGGTTCGTGTACGTGTTTTATCGAAATTAAACGCACGCACTGGAATGTTTCGTGCACAGCAGGTAACAAGTGCGTTTATTTACTTATCACGAACAGGAAGTCTCTGACCCTTTTTCATAACTGAGCGCTACCAACTAAATCACAAGCGGCCGGAAGTCTCTAACCCTTTCAGTTGAACTGAGTGCTTTATACCGCAAAGCCACTAGTTCGTAAATAACAAGAATTATGGAAGCTGCGGTAAAAAGTTAAAAGCACATTTTAGAGTGTTTTTACTTGAACCGTGAAATAGGTAGTAGAATACTACGCACTATTACGCACTAATTCTATTGTCTTCTTTTGTTAACTTCTTGCTATTTTGCACCATAAGTTAGTACCTGTTTCACGGTTCAAGTAAAATCACTCTATGTGCAAATGGCGATGTAAATAAATCAAAATACGTTTCATAAGAAAGAACTAAGTTCGCTGGAGATGTTGTAAACACTACTTGCCTTGACTAGTTCTCCCGGTAAGAGGGTATTGTACGTTTGCGACCAATGTAATGTTGAATTTACGAGTGAAATGAAATAAAAAGAAAACACAGAAATAAGTTTTATAGTTAAAATTACCTTGTTAAGTTCATAATAAGGACGCGAGGAGGGGGAAGAAGTCTCAATGCTTGAAAATCGTGCATAATAGACCATTAACTTCTTCTAATGAGCCCCAAGAATTTCGAACAGAGCACTTTATCCTCGTAGTCTGCTGGGAATCCTAACACTTCGTTTGGCTGAGGTGCACGCCACATTTCAGCGAGAGTACATTAACTGATATAATTGTACTAAATCAAACTGTTGATTTCTATCGACTGTGATAGTTGATTCGGGCTTTTCACCCTATATCGACCGTTATGAAAAAAACTCGAGTTTGTTTGCTTATTGTTCGGTAGAAGGTGCGATCACACCGTCTCTGATTTCACGGTTGGAGTAAAATGTAACCCTATAGTCTTGCAACGTCTCCACTTCCTTGTTTATGTTGTTTTTATGGGTCGGTTGAAGTTGCAGATAATTTTGTCATTTTAAGCGCTTGTTCGTAACACGGTGGCGGGTTTTCATCATCAGAGCCATCAATATCTTCCGTCCAAAATCCCGCATTGAATTGAGAAGAAACTTCTTGAGCATTTTGAACTACGGTGAAATAGTCAGGCAAAGCCAACGAGGAAGCTTCACCAAACGGTGAACGGTGAGGAGAATGATTAGAAGGTGACAATGGAGATGGTGATTTTTCCAAGTCTTCTGCCGGAATTCTGGAGACAGCAACTTCACTTGGGCTCCGTTTTCTCCGTCTTTTGTGGAAAAATATTATGGTGCAGACACCGCCCAAAAAGAATAAACCGATGAATACACCTCCACAGACTTTTGCTGCCACTGATTGTCTACATTCTTCTATCCTATTTGTCCTGCAGGATTTTGACAGACCGAGCAAGATAAGCAGAAACGACAGCGCCACAACACACGATAAAATTAGAAATATGCATATTATCAAAACGACTCCAGTTTTTCCCGTCCAACAAGTCGACCATCTGAAGGCTGCTCGTTCGTTAGTAGCCCTCTCTGCTCGCGTCACTGACATATCATCCATTTTCCAAGTCAACAATGCTTATTTCAAGCGAACTCTTTAGTGTCGTTTAAATCTTAGAAAGTTGTTTTTCCTCTTTTCCTGCTCCTGTTGTTAAGTCAAACCCTTTACATCTTCCGTTTTGCTTGTACTCACGTAGAGCTTGTGGCAAATTGTGAGCTCAAATTGAATTAAGTGAAACTTAGTTTTGAGGAAGTCAAGTACATTTGAGCACTTGTGGTTAACCTATTGCCCCTAGTCAGTTAAATATAGGGTCACATGCAAATTATGTATAACGTTCAAGTTTTTAGACGAGTGCTTTAGTGTGATCATCCAATTAAAACTTCCTTGTTGATTCTTTCCCGTGGAATATTTTCCCAGTGTATTTTACAAATTGCAATTAAGGAATTTTTAGGCGCTCTTTTTAACAGGTCCTTTGTCATCCAAGTTCAAGATCTCTGAATTCATGTGACATTTTCCACGTAATTCGCTTTGTTTTCGTAGTTTTCTTCTGTATAACTTTTCCTCGGCCGGAGGTACTTCAGTTTTCAATTTTGGCGAATGAGGAATCATTCCTCGTGACGTAGGTTGTGCGTCAAACGGCTAATCGAAACAAACTGTGCGTGAAATTCAGCGTGCATAATATTGTTCAAATGAGGCCTTAAACTGCGATTTAAAATATAAAATTGGAATCCAAGCTTTCGCCGATCAACGGCATCATCAGGGATGAGAAAATATTCCGCGCGGAGCTATATATATATATATATATGTACGAAATAGGTGTAAGGTAAAATGTATAAAAGCGATAAAAGCGTTAAAATGATGTAAAGTATGGTTGAAAGGTATAAAAGTAAAAACTTTGAATAAAATACAACAGTATAATGACCGACTGTCTCTAGACAAAAGGGTCTAGGTTTGTATTTCAAATTTGTTATTTCTATACATTTATACCTACTAGAGCTATCCGAACCCGTGCTCTGGGCACTGGGCCACGCTGCCTCTCCTAAGAGAGAGTAGTGAAAACAGGCTTGAGCGGCTGTGAAGGTAGCATGCTTGCTCTCCTAACAACATCCCCCATAATTGGTCAAAGTCAAAATTTGACAAAATTTCCACATTTCATTTGTAAAATGCAGAAAAATAAGTAACTTCAGGTGAAACTACAACCAAAGAGGTTTCGTTCGAACGGTATCACCGCAGCATTTCCTCCAAAGACTCTAAAGTTATAACCGCCAGTCTCCATCATTCATCCTCGAAGTGACATGGCTTGCCATCTGCTACATCAAGAGCTGCTACACCCTACTTACCAGTGTATATTATATTTTCAGATTTGTTTTGGCGTCGCATTTCTTCTATGGACTGTGGGGTGTAGTACAGGAGGGCTTCTCAAGCACTGGTAACATCATGTTTAACTACCTGGTATGTTTAGCATCACATTAGAGAGCTTTAGATTTGAAGACGAGGACGACTACGACTTCGCAAAGGCTTCTGGGGTTGTTACTTAGGACAGAGAAAAAAATTGACCAATAGCTGACCGGCGCATCCCCAGTAACCATCCCAGAAACAATTGCGGGCCGCATTTCGGGCCGCAGTTAGTTAGCACTAACCCAGGGTTAAATTTTAATCCGGGTTTCTTTTTC